CGTTTGAGCAGGTGGTCTTGTGTTTTGTGGGCTGTGTATACTTGTTGCCATTGCTCCTTGCGCTGCCACAGCGGCATAGCTTGCCATAGCCTGCTGCTGCTGTGTCCCTTTGCTTCTGAGTACCGTCTTGCCTATGTCGACTGCCTCGATCGCCGCTGTCTTCGCCTCTTTACCCGCTGTTGCTGCTGCTTGTGTATTTGCCTTTGTTGCCTCTATGTCTTCCCGGATGTGTCGGAAGGCTTCATCAATGCTTTTCCATCCGTTCACTGTCTCTGTGCGCAGTCGATCTACCTTCTCTTCTAGGGTGGCTACGTCAGGGGTGTCCTTGATTTTGGCGAGCGCAAGTAGCGCGCTCTTGAGGGCTTTGCTTAGTTGCTTTCTATCGATCTCTTTATCTCTTTCTACGACGTGCAATGTATCGCTGAGCTGCTTCGTGATTTCTAGGACATGCTCTCGAAGGTTGGTGGGCCCGGTTACCTCCTGGGACCAGGGCGTCGCCATGTCTTACGGCCGCGTTGGGCGGTGCGGCTTCCGATAAAGCAGTTTCCGGTCTTCAGGGGGTGTATGTGAACACAATTGAGCTCTTTATTCCAAGAGTGAGAGTTCTCGCTGTTGTTGTGCTTTTACTTCAAGAAATAGAACTATGAAAGGGAATGTAAATGGATCATGTGACTCGTATGTAGCCTGCATATCCGAATTCGGATGGGTCAGGGTAAATGAAGAATCAAATCAAATCAAATCAAAATCAATCAATGTCTGTGCGGAAGATCACGGGAACGATGAATGGTGCATAAGTGAGATCGTAAACCTGCTTAGTTCATTGTATACTGTCTTGAATGATGGATTGTCTGGTTGTTCTCCTGTCCCCTACCCCTGGCTCTCCTCTCTTAAGTTATCTAGCCAGCGTTTGCTTATGTCACGTGATACTTGATATGTGCTTAGACTGACAGGGACGCGATGGATTAAGTTATGTAATTTATCACGTTTCAGCTGTTTGCCTAAGTCCTCCCAACCGGGCATAGCGGCGGAGGAAAAGAGCTGCTACAACCGTGTAGGAATTAAACCAAAGTAAACCAGAACATATACAACAACTTACAATAATATACAATATCATTATAAGAACAAACTTTCGTCAAAAAGTATATCTATTTATATTATTTTTCACTTCCTTGTGCTTCCTTGAACTCGGCACATCAGCAATCTTAAGCACTGCCTAGCTTAGGCTGGACTTTTAGTTTGACACATTGTCCTTCGCTGGGTATAGCCACAAAATGAAATGGTGGCTGAAACCGTGTAGGATTAAATTAAATAATCAATGTCCTTCGCAGGGCATAACTACAAGGTAGAACAGTAGCTAAAACCGGGTAGAATTCAATCCATCAAATCGATGAACTTGAGAGCTTGGTACTGTGGAGCTAGCAATTCATACAACTCGACACGATAAAGAGCAGTATAGATATGGATAAGGTAAAGAACCTGCATGCGGCCTGTTGCCCCTGCATAGATAATAAACTTCCGTGGTAGCCCACTTTCATACTCAAACGCAATTCCGAGACACGTTTAATTGAAATTAGTTTTTCCTTCCCTCACATTGTATGAATTGAAAATTCAAGTTTCCATTAGCCTTTCTTAGGAAATCTCAAGTTGAAGCTTTTTCAACTCAAAAACTTGGTCGGCACGGGTATGTGCACAGCTCTAATGTACTCTGCAAAGCCCTTGCCTAGTCCGTCCAGTAAGGCAGTGCTGGTGACGCCCTTCTGAAGGGCACCGTACACGACGAAGTGAACAGCTAAAATGTCTGGGAATTCGACACGCTCGATGAAGTACCAGTCTTTCCAATCTTTACCCATTAACTCCCGCAGCTTGTCTCTTGTCATCAGAGATCGGAACCAGTCCCATTGCTCCGGCTTCTGGACGTATAAGCCGATGTTGACATTTCCACCTTTGTCACCCGATCTTCCTAGCGCAATGTCGCCCAGTGGTCGCATTTCTGTTGGACCAAAACTATTCAGATTTACCGGGCTGTTCGTCTCGTAGTTTGCGCGAGCTTCTAATCCTGCTGTTTGCTTTGGAGGCCCAACAACGAAGCGGCTTGCCTTACCTTCGGCAGTGATAATGCAGACTGCCTCGTCAAGCTCGGTTTGTGGGATAGTGGCGGGATAGAATCCGATAAACTGCTTGGGGATCGCCGTCCTCATATCCAAGGACCCATGCATGCCAGCAAAATGCGCCATACCGTTGAAAGCCCATGCTTTGATGATGCTTGAGACATCCTGAGCGGTTTTACCTTGACCGAAGATGCGAAGATATGTGGTTGAGGCGAGCTGACTATCAGGATTCTCTTTTGGCACACCAACCCGTTGAAAGTCGAGTACATCAAGCTTGACTCCCCACTCCTCAAGTTTCTTTCTCATTTGCATTTCAGCGTAGTCCCATTTCCAACTTGTTGCGTATCCAGAAGCGTTAATGGTGAGCTCTGCCTGATATCCTCCTAAGTAAAAAGTCGCCAACTTCGTTGTGGGTGGAGGCGGATAGCCTTTAATTCCGGTGATGCGCACGCGGTTTTTGCCCTCTGCTACCACCTTAAAGTTTGTGATGTCGGCTTTAACATCGCTATTCAAATAAGTATTTCCTTGAAGCTCATACAAGAATTGGCATTTCACTGTGTCCGTAGTAACAATTCCATTTAGAGCGTCGTGCTTTGTGACGACACCCTCACCGTTCACATCTATCTCGATGATAGGCAGGCCAAGATTCATAAGCTCTTCAACTCGATATTTGTAGGAGCCAGCAAAATTAGCACCGGTGATGTATGTACTGCATTCAATCAAATGCCCACAAACTAGAGCATGGGCTAGTGCATCATAGTCGTCCTCGTCCCACTGATGCCACCATGCTGCTGCACCGATGACGGGGGAGGCATCGGCAACACTGTGTTCGGGTAAGCTTTCCACATTGAAGTCTGATGTATACCAAATCCACCTACCGACCGCAGATGACAATGTCAGCGCCCTCATCCAGGCCGCGTTTGATCGCTCTGTATCCCAAATAGGCATTTACGCATATAACAGGCATTGTTTCTGGATTATCCAGAAAATCGGCTGATTTATCTGCTAGGTTGACATGTGCATTTGCCTTGTCAAGATGAGAAAATTCACCCTTTTTAATTCTTCCCACCAGCTCATCTTTCCTGTGCAAAAGATTGTCTCCTTCAACGTACGCGACAGTTAAATCCAATCCCTTTTCTTTGACCTACCAAGTTGTCAACGAGAACTCATCTTTTTCACGTACAGCTTCTCGAAAAGAACCAATACGCACCAAGGCATATGTCTTCTCCGCCAAGCCTTTTGGATTGAGACTTCCCCCATTGATTATAATTTTGATTCTCTTCTCATTGGCGATTTCGAGAGTTTGTTGCAGACCATCCCACGCTGTTGGTATCCAGCCAGGATGGTCAGACGTCCGCATGGCTTCAGCATCATTTGCTAGATTTACCTCTGCAATAACTGTGAGTAAGAATTTTTGCGGGCCATTTGCTCTTCTCACCTGCCAGGTAGTCACCAGTGATTACGTCTACATCACCATACTTGGCTTGATTGTACATGTGCACTCCTGGATCACCTTGGCTTTACTTAGAGTACTGAGGCTAGCATTCTGTAGCATATAAACGTACATGCTGCCCCGGAGCAATTTGCAACTCGTACAGGCCGTTTTGGCTCAGCTATCCTGACTGCTGGCATTTTCTTTGCTGCAAAGCTTGCGAAAATGGATCAATAGCAGTCCAGTGTCTACGGTAAAATGTAACATGTCGGCCAGAGTTGAGAAATTGCGACTATATCGGCTGTGCAATGTCAGTGCCCAATTGATGAAGCGGGGAAGGATGGTAATCGGGTCTCGGCAGACGTTGAGCGAACTACATACAGGAAGAATGACATATTAAGGCCGAGTTATCCGAATTCGGCAATATGAATTGCTCATATGCTCACTATTAGCTACAGACCCCACTTCCTACAAAATTCTTAACCATACATAGTGTGTAGTTTCATAATCTGACATTTCGCGCATAATAGGCGTTCCTAGGCATGTGGGGCGGGCTACCCCGCCAAACGTTGAGGATGCAGCCGAGAGCCGGCGGAATGGATTCTGCCATTAAGCTCGAAGAGACACGAGGCAAGGTTGTACAGGTCGAACTCGAGCAAGGTTGGATACTACTTCAAAGAACTGCTCTGCATTCCTGATTAGGTCCATCTCAAGCAAGAGAAGCCTAACGATAAAATGGCAACACTCATTCAAAATCCAGCCGATACTGTGAATTCCGTTCCGACTAAAGCATTGGACAAAACCGAAAGCAATACAAGCGCCGTCGAAAAACCTGATTACTCGGTACAACAAGAAACATGTGAACTCCTTATCAATGGAATCATCAAGAACCCGCTTATGCGAGATCTGCCACCAGAGCTGGAGGCATTAAGCAAACATGTTCGCTTTGAGGGTAATCGATTACCTAGCATTCCAATCAATTGGCGTTTCGCCGAAAGCATTTCGTAAGTACGGTGTATGGTAATCTAGAAGCCAAAATGAGTTCTAAGTGCAAACTAGTGCTCTTAAAGGATTCGAAGCCACTATGCTGAACTATCTGGTTCAAAAGAAATACGGGACAAAGCCAGCAGATGTCGTAATCAATACGGATCATGCTTCTTTGTTCTTCATGTCACCAATGCTCGCACAGGTAATCGTAGATGGGAAACCCCAGCCAGTTGGGTTATTGGTAGGGGACAACGCTAAGCTCTTTCCTAACCGAGACTTGCACAGAGCGGGCTCGACTCTACACAGAGCTCTTGCAACAAACATATATAAGACGAAGGACAAGCGTTTCTTTCACCTTCACGGAAGTATGAATCCTGAGCCCACACTGACTGCTTTGGGCTTGCCCGTCGAAGGCCAGGACAACGATACGTTTGATTCCGTGGTTGATCGCATCCAGAATGAAGTCTCAAAGTGGAATGCCGAAGACATTGACTACGTCATGAATGAGAAGCACCGCCAGGCTGGAACCATCGCGTGGACTACTGAGGAGTACTTTTCTAGTGAGCATGGCCAGGCCGCTGGTAAGATTGGCCTCTACGAGATCATAAAGGATTCCGCGTCTCATCAACCACCTTCATGGTGGCCCGACAGTGCAACTTTTTTATCTTCACAGAAAAGACCACTTGCCGGTCTCAAGGTTGTTGACTTAACCCGTGTAATTGCGTCCCCAGCAATCGGCAGGGGATTGGCTGAGATGGGAGCGAGCGTGATGCGCATAACCTCGCCAAAAATCACGGACATGTCTGTGTTGCATCAAGATCTGAACTGGGGAAAATGGAATTGCCATTTGCATCTTAAAGATGAATCAGACAAAGAAAAGTTAAGAGCGTTAATCCGTGAGGCCGACGTCGTTGTCGATGGCTATCGACCGGGCGTCATGGAGCGTTTGGGATTTGGTCGCCAGGCAATCTTCGATCTCGTCAAAGATCGCCCAAGGGGAATTATTCATGTGAGGGAGAATTGTTATGGCTGGCATGGACCATGGAGCCACAGAAGCGGTTGGCAGCAGATCAGTGATGCAGTAAGGAATACTCTCTGATATGTCGCCCTTAGATGCTGACTGTTTAAACTAATGAATATTAGTGCTGTGGAATCTCCGTCGGCTATGCACGGGCTATGGGTTATGACGAAGCAGTTACTCCTGTCTACCCCAATTCAGACTACTGCACTGGCGTTTGCGGTAGTACTGGGGTTTTGGACGCTCTTGTAAGACGAGCCGTAAGCGGAGGAAGCTACGGAATAGACGTAAGAGACCATTGTTCACTATCTTTTGCTTACTCTCACAAAGCTCATTTCAGGTATCGCTCAACTACTATTCTCAATGGCTTGCTCGAACTGTCGGAGAATACGACGACAAGGTCTGGCGTGATCTATGGTCGAGACACGGCTCTCCAGCATTCCGTCACTATCATAATATGGGATATACCATCCCAGCTCATCTTAAAATGCTGAGAGAGTATGATGCAGAAACCATGTTTAAGCCATCGTTCTTCGAGCAGCGCGAGTCAAAGAATTTATGCGCCACTTTTGTAGGCGTGAAGCCGATTGCCCAGTTCCCAAACAAAGAAATTGAGCTAGGTTACCATGTTGGCACTCGGGGCAATGGAATAGATCAGCCACGCTGGCCAAAAGATCTATCCGTAGAAGTTGTTAAAAGTGAAAACTGAGGATCTCCATTCTCACGAGGGGAAATGGAAACAAAGGTCGCCAAACAGGGGCTCCTCATGTGGCAGAACGCTACATTTTCGGAAAACATCGGCATGTAATTTCAGCTGACAAAATGCGCGCGACACCGTTGCATATGTCGAACCTGAAAAAAATTCCAGTGACTTGTATGCGAAAAGCTGGTCGTCTAATATACAAAGTATTTTTGAGCTGACAATGTAATTGCCAGACAAGGAAATTAGTTGGTTGTCCGTCAGTCCGTCTAGTTTAGACGTTGATTCAGACTATTAGCATGTTATTCTTTTTGTTCAGCCCTTCCCGCGTAAACACCGGCAGCAATCTCACCTTCGAATCTGTTTCCAGAATCACTGGATTTTAACAAAGACGTGATTGAAGGCATTTGATTTTATACTATTCACCCCGCTACAGTTCCCAATATTGTTTATTCGAATCTTGGCAAACTAATAGCACTTGATAATGAACCAGCCGTCGCCAAAAATTGTCCACTGTACTCACTCGCTATTGTTGGTCTTGGTATATTTGACTATATATAAAGCAATGTACATCACTAACGGACTAAGACATTATGCTTAGATGTACACAAACGCACCATTGTGAATGCGTATGTTTGAACAACGTTTCATTCTGATACGATGCTTGCTCAAGGAGAAAGGTGTTAGGAATCTATTCCATATCCGTCAAGACTCACTAACGTAAGCCAATTTGGAAGCGGTGAGCTTCCTAAAGCGAGAGAGGAAAGTACTGATGTTATACTGAAAGAGGAAGAGTATACAAATAACAACGTTTGTGACTTAGGAAAGATCTGCTTTAATAGGTAAAGATAGATTAAGATTAACTAACTAGACAAACTAGATAGTTTAATTACGGATTCTTTCGAAGGAAAACCGCAATCCTTTTATAGAGAATGGAAATAGGTAATCACCGTGATCATGCATGATTAATGTGATCACTACCTGCACTCTTAATTCATTAATTTTTGTAGGACTAATGAGATTCTTTCTTGCCATGCATTTTGATCACCTTGATCATGAATGATGGAATGATCACACACGTGACTTTATGTTACTTCGTAACAAAAGGCAGTTCATATTTCGTTTTTGAACAGAGATTACGCGTTTATATTGACTATGCTTACGGCATCTATTGCTGCATATGTATCCCCGACTTGGACTTGCTCATTTTGAGTTAGTTTCAGGGTAGTGAATCGTTCTTGATGTTGCAGATATGTGTACTTGAGCATGAATCAGGTCTGAATAGGTTTGCATTGCGGATGAGTAGCACAAAGGCAGCCTCAGGACTGGGCTTTCATCTCGCATGCTCCTCACGATCCCCTTTCAGAGCTAGCTTCTGCCTTGTTTGCGGGCCATATTCTAGCTGTCTTTTTAGTTGCCGGCTGATATGTTGCAGTGCATGCGGTATCTTTCTTTCTCCCCTGCCTCTCAAAACACCACATGTACCATCCTGCTTTAAGAGTGGACCGGTGAGGAGGAACTAGCACTAAGTCTGCCTGCGGAAGAGAAATAAGGCATGGTCGCGTCACTGTAAAATCTTGCCACGTAGCAGTTTCCGTTCTGCGCAGTTTTGATATATTCTATAATTTTTTATCTCATATTTTATGCTATCTGAGTCTTAATATCAATGAACCGATTCAAATAGTCAAATTAGAATTTGAACTCCTTTTTATGTAAATCGTTTGCTATATAGTAAAAATGCGCCTTCTTTGCTATAGTGATTTTGGAGGCCTGGGCTTTATAGACTTTACTGGAAAGACGGCCCCTCCGTATGAAATTCTTTCACAGATATGCAGTGATGCCCACGGGTTGGATATGGGTGGATTAAAGGGGTATTTCCCAAACATAAACAAGGGGAAAGAAGCATGAACGGGCTGCCACCCCCCTTGTCGATAGCATTGTTTAGGCCTGATTGATGCCTCCTTGGCCTTGTCAAGGAACGCTAGGGCTCCTTCAGGTAATGCCATCTGCTCACGGTGTATTACAACATCATGGCATACTGATAATTAACGCGTAATTTTCCTATATAGCATGCCTGGAAAACACTTAACCACGAGCCCTTCAAATTGGACAGCATCGTAACGATGACGGCTTGGTTCGGGGCCTCGATTAGGACGTGACGAGCTATTTATATATATGCGAAGTGATGTGTTAAAATTTGAATCTTATCAGAATCATATCCTAACTTATAAGAGCAACGAAGTCGCCCAAGGCAGTCCCGCTGGAGCTAGAGGTTGGCTTCGCAAAAAAAAAAAAAAAAAAAAAAAAAAAAAAAAAAAAAAAAAAAAAAAAAAACCTTGCTTCGCCTTCTCCCTTTGTATGGAAAGGTCGGCGTATGCCTGCATAGAGGTCGTCCATATCTGTTGGCGTCCGAATTCTACTTGGTCCTTGAATATTCCGGCTCTAGAGATGAGATTAGACTCGGAAGTTGGTATCATATACTGCCAGTCTGGCTCGTTGGTACCAGAATAGTGTTTTGCACAGCGTTAGATAGGGAGTCTTCGCCTGACAACTGTACCAACTGCTTGATGCAATCGACCACTCCTTGTAACAAATTAAGATCTTCAAAGAAGCTGGAGAGAGAGAGAAGAATCATACGATTTGTAGAGACAGAGAGTATTTCGTTCCATATAACCTCACGTTCTCGCTCATTGAAAGTGCTGAAGATCTTTCCGCTTTACGTAGTTGGCGATATACAGTCCTGCTATCTGCTCCGCACGCTCCAGGAGCTGTAAGTTTCAGTGATTCCACGGTAGTTCTGTCTCCCTTCTCCATTGCGGAGTTGTCTCCACGAAGAATCTTGGTCCAGACATCCGTGATATCAATATAAGTTAAATATCGGAGGGTTTCCTAATGAATTCAGTTAGCCAGGTGTCATATCGTTCGGTAAGCCCTCAGCTCTTCGAATCTCATTGCAAGCACTTATGGACACTGACTAAGCTCATGCCTCCTCAAGTCCAGGTATATCTATTTGATAATCAAATGCCGCTTTTTACGGAGGCGAATTTAAGATGCGTTTCAGATTCTTCTCCTTACAGTTAGAAATCGCAGAGAAGCGATCCCACTATCGTCCCTCAAATATACATCTTGTGATTTCTGATGTTGGCGACTTTTACGGTATATCTCGCCAGCGTCGTGATCCTTCTTACAAGTATAGTCTTCTATCAGAATGGCCTTTAGATCATGGCTGAGGTCTAAATAGGAGTAGAGTTTTGTAATACGCGCGGAAAAGACATCTCCTGCCTTTTAGATAAAGGCCTACGGTCAATTGCTTGTTTCCTAGGAGGAGGATTTCTGTTGCAAAATTACATGATGTCGCATGTGGGCGCCTAGCTAAGCTAGGCGCCCACATGCGAAAGAATCGCCGTTGTGCAGCGTACAAGGACGAAAAAGGAAGCGATTATGGTGCAAGAGGTTGCCCTGATTGTGCCCAGTTGTGCCGGGCGGCGTTTCGCAGCAGGGCAGATTTTAGTCCTTTGATTCATTAAAACATGTGGTTGCAGATGTCGGTTTGTCGAGCAACTCACTGTTCTGTCCTAAATATAACGACATCCGTCTCATCTCCGTCAACGTTAAGCAACAGATTGGCTGTATCAACTACGCGAGTGATGTCTGCCGTGTTCACTTGACAGCCATTCACCGTAATAGCATACGCGCCAACATTCAATTTTCTGATCACAGCGTTAATGCTCCTCGAGGTTCCGTTCCAGGTACGTATTTTGTCAAGAGAACTGCACGCTCACCCGCGTCATAAACTCTGCGAAGGCAATTCACGTCATCCTTGACTCTAAACCCGCTCACCCAGAGACTGTTCCTGACATGCGCTGAATTCCATGGATTACCAATCGTTTCCCTCTGCCCTTCCTTCACTTTCAGCCGTGCGTAGCCTCTTGCGGCTTTACCAGTATATGGATCGACGCAATCACCTTAGGTAAAGTCGCAGCGTGGATAGTAAAGCCGCCATTTTCCCATTTTGGATTCAGAAATTGATCCGCATGGCGCAAAATGAGCACGAGGTCTTTTCCACCACCGAACTCAGAGATCCACTGTGATACGTAGCCGAACGTCGGCGACATGAACGGTTTAGGCCGTGGGTTGTAAGGCTCTTGTCCATCAGTTGTCTCTCGAGCTTTCCACACAATAGACTCAGCGCCGGGTTCTACGCCGGTTGGTTTGACCATTTGCCGGATTTTCTCAGCGACGACTGGGTGGATTGATATCGATTCTGTCATCAATCCTGTGGAGGAAGCCTGACCAATGGTGGGATAGATCGACTTAACAAACTCAAAGTTCCGGGGCATGAATGCCATAGCCCTGCTTGGCTTTAGCACGACTATGAAGAATGAAGATCTAGACTAAAATTTACCATGCTGTGTGGTGTATGTCATCTGACTTTGAAAGCTGTCTCCTGCCTTTCCAGTACCATCAGCGAAACAGATCGTTTTCACCAACAAGCCTTGCTTTTCTGTCCCGGCGGCCTTGTACTTTGCGAGACGAAATCTAGAGCTTTGGCGTTGTCTGTGACGTCGTTGTATCTCATTGCAATTAAATGAGAATCACGTTGGATTCACAGCACACTCCGATCGAATTTTCTTCTTCCATTTGCTTGATAATGGTATCTTGCAATGAACGTCCACTATAAGTAAATCTTTGCGGTCCCATAGCCTAGAAGAGCGCGTCCCAGTTGAACACTATTCCTTCAGTTCCATCAAAGCGATGGTCATCAAAAGGCATAGTAAAAAGAGATACCATAAGCAAAAGATGACCAGAATACTGCGAGCCCGTTAGCATAGCCACTGGAAGCTGCGTGTTATTCGGCCCACCATGATATTCGCCGTGCAGATGGGATCAGCCCATGGTGCTCTTAACTCTTTCGATTCGGGGTCAACACGGATACCAGATTAGCTCGTCCAGTACGAATATCCCCAAACTTCTTTACACTGCATCTTCACGATTAGCTTCAATAACGTAGTCTTCAACATCGATCGCATCGCAGGAAGACGGAGACAATGCATGGCGTCAACCGCTTAAGTCATTTTCGCGAGCTGGTACCGATAAGCGATGTCCCATTCTTGCCCTGGTTCTTGTGCTCCCAGATAAGACCAGTCGCCGTCCAATTTGGAAGCGATATTGGCGAAAGTGTCGTAGGTGACGTCACTGCTCTCGTGATAGCTTTGTATATTTGGAAGTAAGCTCATTTATTCGTTGACACATTGACATCGCAGATTCGTGAGGCGATTTTGTCTAATTTCTTGTGTCCAGTATTTTAAATCCTGACCCTTGAAGTAAAATTCAAGAATGGATGACCTAGAACGATCCTACCCTTCATGACGTGATTCTCCATCTGCTAAGGGATATCTCGGGACTCCTCTGCATCTTTTTCACGTCCTAGGTTTGAACTTCTTAAGGCCTATAAATGTAAAAGGTAAATTACTCGTCATCTCTTCATCTTCCTCGCGGTACATCTGCAACAAATTCACGGTAATACGAGGTCGGGTTGAATCGTGGGGATTTCGCCCAATTTTTCGGATGACAGAACGTGCGCCACACTGCTCGCGTCTTAGGTCATCACGCCTTGTCGGGTATTTAAGTTAATGCGGATGCGGGACAAAGTGAAAGGTGGATGATAGGAAGCAGTAACAAGAAAGGCAAAGATGGGTGGTCATACATGAAGGGTGTTCTCGCCTCAAGAGACTTAAGCCTTATGTAGAAAATGAAGGTCAACCTTTCGAGCTCTGAAACCTTAAAACACAAACGCAGTCAACAGAACAATATGGTATGGTCGAAAGACAGTAGCAACGCCTAATAGCCACCTGTAATTTAATTACGCGGAAGGTCATGATCCAGGGTCGAACAAAGCAAACTTTACTTCTCTCCTGCATAAGTTATCTGTTCATTGGGACAGCGATGTAAAATGATCTTGCTTGTGGTTTCCGCTTTTGCATTCAATTCCAAGAACCGGATGTAAAGGATAGCACAAACTTGTTTCGCTGGGGCTCGAGCAAGCACCTTGTTTCCAAGTCGACTAATCAACCGAGCAAATCCGTAATGCTGCCAGACCGCGTTTGTGGAAGCTCTCGAAACCCTTCATGAAGCTAGCTGTGATTGCAAGGTGTATTGAATGTCGAAAGTTGAACACTTTGCACTGCAACTCTGTTAAATTTCCGCGACACAATAAGCTTCCCGGGCTTCCGCGGCGTATGGAAGATGAGTTGATCGGAGACGAGCACATGATGAGAAAAGCCAAACCTTGAGCACGAGGAGAGTTCATAGAGTCGAATACACTCTATGCTATCGAGGCACGTAATGCGTTTAAACCTGAAAAAACGAAGCGTCTCACGGTTGGGATGATGTGTATTCACGGTACAAGTATTTTTGCCCATGTCATTAATAGAAAGAGAACTGTATTCTTTTCCGGGGGCACTGAATACGCCCTGACAATATAAATTGCAATACCCAACGCCGTTCTATTATTCGCTCAGTATGCTTCAAATCGCGGCATATTTGATGTGGGGTGCTTTTCCTGAAGACAGGCCGACGAGATTGGCGTGGATCAATCCACTCACAAAGCAAAGATAGTTGCCGCTACCAAGATGACAGCTGCAAGTAGAGAGTGAGGAGCAATGGAGGCAGAACCAGACCCAGAAGCACTTGCAACAGCAGAGCCAGAGGAGCCAGCAGCCGATGAAGATGAAGATGATGAGGACGAACCGGACTCGCCACCAGTTGCAGGTGAAGTACCATTGGTGATGCTGCCAGTGGCTGAAGTCGTTGAACCGGTTGTAGTGCCCGTGGTAGCAGCTTTCTGAGGTGGGCAGGTAAGGTTGAACTTGGGAGTCGTGGACAAGTTGTCGGTAATAGCGAACTGAGCCTCATCGGCAGGGTTGCTGTCACGAAGAGTGTACCACCAGGTATTGGTCTTGCCGAACAAGGTACAGCCGACCTCGTCCCAGTAGGTCTTCGCATTGGCGACTGAAGGCACACCCTCGCCCCAGTCTGGACCAGTGGCTGGCCAGCCAGTCTCAGTAATCCAGATGGGTTTACCGCCGGCAGCGGCTGTTACAGCTTGCATGGCCTCATCCCACAGCGTGAGTGCGTTCTCGATGGAGTTGTTGCCCTTATTGCTCTCAAAGTAAGGATATGCGTCGACGCCAAGGAAGTCAATGGCGTCAAGAACAGCCTTGTTAGAGCTGTTTCCCCAAACATCCCATGTGTCTACGTGACCAATGGGGGTATTCTCCAAGAGAGTGCCCTTGACCGTGTCACGGACTTGACTGATGAAGCCAGCGACAACTGAAGGGTCAGCGCCAACTCCTGCCTTGTTCGCAACACCGGTCGCCGAGTTTCGGTACAAGTCCTCACTGCCAACAGAGATGCCGACCACCAAGTTCGCGAAGTCAGAGCCGTACTGATTAAGTGCAGAGCTCAACGCGTCAAGATCGTTCTGAATCGTGGTCGTGCCGGAGCACCAGATACCAAGGAGCATCGTCGTGTTTGTCGCGATAGCGGCAGGGAAAGCAGAGATTGGGTCGTTGGTCGTCCCTCCCTGAACCATGGTGTACAGACGGACCGAGTTGAATTTGACTGGAGCCCCTTCGAGGCCAGCAGCAGCCTTGAACTCTGCCTCGAAGTCGGACTGCTGCTTGATGCTGCCATCGGCGAAGGTGCTGCCGGAATTGAACCCGGCAATAACATCAGCTGCTACGCTGCGGGCTAGCAGGCTGCCGGCGAGAATTGAAGGTAAGGAACGCATGATGTGTATAGAGAGAGTGTTGTGAGAATGACGAAAGTGCTGGATGTGATTGGTCGTGCAATAGAAAAGGATGCAGCAAAGAAAGGAGAGAGATTAAAAAGTCATAAACGAGGGAGCAGTTCCAACGAAGGCGAAAGTGTTGAAGAAGGCCGAATGAGTGTGATTGACGTGTAGATGAGAGTGTGCAAAGAAAGAGGAGTATGCGACGCGCTGCCAGCCAAGGAGAGGCGGCTGTGCGGGTGAACAAGCATAACTTGAAGCGTCCGTGTTTGGCCTTGCAGATCCACGGCGAGCCGGACGAGCTTTTGCTGTGCACTGTGGTACTGCGGCGCTCTTGCCTGGGTGGGGCGGGCCGTGCGCTGCAGAGCGCTGATTGGGCCCCTGAGGGCCCGCACGCCAAGATTCGGCCAAGCCAGGGCCAAGCTAATTTCAGGAGTTCGCTAAAAACGGAAGGCACCAGTCAGCGGCACCCACAACCCGTGCACACGCGTTGCCGTCACGTGTCAGGCTGAGTCACCGCATCTCGCTTCGTGAACGGTCGACGTTTGAGTCTGGAAGCCAAAAGCCTGCCCTCGGTCGATGTACTCTCCCCATCGGACATCCTGGGCTTGGTCAACGAGAATCTCTCAACCGTTGGAATGCTGTTGTGCGGCAGCAGCACATCCGCCAGCAAGTTCGATGTTCCGTTGAAACACCAAACAGGTTGACGGACCAACAGACGCCACTGCCGTCCGCCCTTTCCAGACGGCGTTCATCCCCGAGACTTTCCAAACACCCTTCATCAGACCGTTGAGGACATGTCCAGCTCCTCAATAATTCGTAACGACGTGTGTGCAGGACTACTGTGGTTCTTGCAGAAAAAAAAAAGACGTGGGAGATTGTGCCCGTACTCCGTATTCTTGCTAAATCTAAAGACACGTCCTCAGCTCTGCCATGCCGTTCCAAGCCTCTGGCCATATTGGCAGCCATGCAATAATTTGGCATTGAAGTCATGTACATGGCTTAAGGCTGGCAGTGGAATCTATAGCACACTGACATTACTTCCACGATGAAACGACCAGCACTCTCGCAGACTGATACACACCATCCTGAAGCGCAAGAACACCATGCCTCGTCCTCAAATATGTAGCTATTTGCAGTTTTTCTTCCCTGTTCTCTAATATCTTGTATCTTTCAAGTAGGCAATTGATCAGCCATTCGATGTCAACGCGAGCATGCTGAAGAGGCTAGGTAACGAAATCAGGGTCCCGCATATACGACTCAAGTACGTGGATTTGATGGTGAATCATGTTTATATCTTTTGCACAAGTTGAAATTCGTCCACAAAGTGCGATCTCAATAACTCTTTTTCGCGTGCTGGGTTGTTTTATTGCCAGAACTAGACTAACAAGACGATGCTTCTGTATTTGCATCCTCACAATCGGCCTGAAGATTCTGGCTGCATCAGAGGGATCCTGGCATCGCAAGGCAACCATGTGTGTTCCATGGCATTTGGCGATGGTGCTTTTGCGCTGGTCTGTAGCTGCCCTACTTCTTGTAGATATATGCACCTTATCTACCTTACGAAGATGCCTGGAATCACAAATGCAGATCCCATGTATATGTGGGATAGTCGTGCTCATTTGACCCGCGCTCCAAATGAGCGATAGCGCAGCGATTGTATGTACGACCAAGGCAGAGTTTCGATGAGCTGCTGATGCGTGTTTTGGCGCAAATCAACAGACACCTCATGACTTAGCTCGTGAGTGTGAACGATTCGAGTTTCCTAAACATCCCGGCAGCCGAAGAGTGACGTCCACGTCCAAGCCCAAGCTCAGACAGGTCGAACTAAACGGTCAAGCAAACGCGGAAACCTCCCTCAACCACGAACCTCAACAATGTCCGGAAATCCCCGAAAAGACAACAAAATCATGGGGCCGAAGATGACGCTGATCTGACTGTACTATGCCAATTGAGAGGCGTAGGTGTCGCTTTGTCGGAGACATGGCGTTCAGAATGCGGTCGGACGGAGCACATGCTCAAGATCCGCGAAATTATATACTGGGTATGTTCTCTTGTGCTATCATGACTGCACTCAGATGCGATGGCCGCAAATCCAGTCAATCGGTATGCTCTGACTTTTTCTTTCAGAGCTACGAGCAGACGAACGAGCTCCAACTCAAGACCTTCGCTGCTTGATTGGGCGAGCTCGAGGCCACACGCTTCGGTGAGATACTTTACGGCCGACGAAGATTATCCAGTTCCCAAGCATACTACCACGATCAATGCCGTAGAAGACTTAAGGCTAGAGCAGAAGAGGTCCATCTCTACTGCAGAGTTGGACAAGTATCGAGACACTCGTGAACGCATAGTCATTCTGGGCTCGGGATGGGCGGGCTACACTCTGTCAAGAGAAATAGACCACAAGAAATACCAAGTAGTAATTGTGAGAGTCCAAAATTATGCTCTGCGTCATGCTACAACTACCTTCTAACTGCGTCACCAGGTTAGCCCCCGATCGTACTTTGTTTTCACGCCTCTGCTCGCATCGACATCGGTCGGCACTCTTGAGTTTCGCACAGCAGTTGAGCCAATACGTAGCCGAAGAAATCAAACATCCTTCATACAAGGCTGGGCTGAAGATGTGGACTTGTTCAATAAGACCGTGACCATAGAGGAAGCGGTTTCCGATCCTCGGCAAGGTCTGGCACAGACAGCTGCGAGAGATGCTGGCAAAAACGCAGAGCAGCTTCAGACAGAAACGGAACACAAGATACGATCTGGACAAATGTTTGATTTGAAGTACGACAAGCTCATAATCGCTGTTGGCTGCTACAATCAGACCTACAACATCAAGGGCGTGAAAGAGCATGCGAACTTCTTAAAGGACGTGGGCGACGCCCGTGCGATTCGAAAACGTTTACTGGAATGCTTCGAGACCGCAGCATTGCCCACAACTCCGGACGATGTTCGACGGCAGATTCTACACTTCGCCGTCGTCGGCGGAGGGCCGACTGGCATTGAATTCGCTGCGGAGCTGCACGACCTGATTCACGAGGACATGAAGAGAATCTACCCTGGACTTGTACGATTCACCAGAATTACCATTTACGACGTCTCACCGAACGTTCTGTCACAGTTTGATGGTAAACTTGCATCGTTTGCAGCTGAGCACTTCGCTAGACGAGGCATCGAAATTAAGACGTCCCGCGCCATTCAAGAATTATCTCCCGGCCTACCGTTTGTGGATGGCAACCTGCGATCTAGTAGACTGGGATTCACGCTCAAGGTCAAGGGTGAAATCGATGAGGGCGTAGGCATGTGTATATGGTCGACAGGCCTTATGATGAACCCCTTTATCCAGAAGGCACTGAGTACAATTCGTCGATTTCCACCGAACGAGGTCATCTTCAAAGATAAAGTTGAGGATGCTTTGCAACTACAGTGGCATATCATGCAGGATCCAAAGACTGGCGCCATTGTTACGAACGACAGATTGCGTGTCCTGATCACACCTGATGGACCTCACGGACCCATGAAAGCACATCTACGAGACGTGTTTGCCATTGGGGACTGTTCAGTCATCGAGGGCAAGCTGTATCCAGCCACAGCGCAAGTCGCAAACCAGAAGGCTCGATGGCTTGCAAAAAGGCTGAACAAAAATGACCTCTACGGTGAAACCTCTCGATTCAGATTTCGCAACCTGGGCATCATGGCTTATCTTGGCAGTGCAAAGGCGATATTCGAGGGTGGAAAAGGTGTGGGCAACATTTCTGGCCGGACCGCGTGGTTGATATGGAGGGTAATGCAAATGGTTCGAACTAGATCATTGGGAACTAACACATTTAAAGGGCGCCTATCTGGCAAAGAGTATTTCATGGCGTAATCGCTTGCTGATCCCGACATACTGGTAAGTCATAAACCAAACTTATCGTTTCTCGGTTTGCTGATGTCCACAGGTTTCTAAACTGGGCTTTCGGCCGCGATATATCACGATTTTAGAACAAGAGTGCAATCAGTCTGGTTGCACGTGATGCTGGTTGCAAGTAAGAGGGCTCTTGGCACATGTTCAATCGGAATATTTCGGAGATGTCGAAGCCATCACGTAGTCTCTTGTCCACTCTGATAAAGGAATTCCTCCTTGCAGAATCAAAGAATATCTGGACCTCATACGGCCGAACTTTCTTTAGTGGTGAAGCCTCCTGCCGAGGTCCGAATTTAAAAGAGTCGATGCTTCTTTTATGTCAGCTATGTCATTCCCTTCAGGAATTAAGTCTAGCCTTCAACATACAAGGACGTTGTAAAACAAATACGATGCCCTTGAGTGGATGTTTGGAATTTTTTCAGACTTCCTATATGCATACATTGCCAGTTCGTCTTCTCTTAGAGGGAGTGCAAATTAAAGAAGCGAATATACAACGGCATTTTGCTGCGTGATCCAACGAAGAAATCCCAGAGTACAAGCTTTGGCAAATTGCCCCCAAACCAAGCGCCACACCCCCTTCATTAGGCCCTTGCTCTCTCCTCGTTCAAAGGATTGAATCTTAATATCCTTGCTTGTACGGACAAACTCCAGACGGGACAGTGAAAATGAGAAGTGATGATCATGAGGTTCCAAACCTCGACATTGGCATTCACAAGAGCCTCTTTCACTATGCTATTTTATCTACAAGAAAGCTGAGATGATCTATGATTAGCATGAACACGTCATAAAGTAGAGTTTAGTTCACAAATCATAGGAGATTCATGCTCGCTTGAGACCCGATCGGAAACTCCAGGGCGTGATTGGAAAATCAAATAACTGTCCATGACGGTCGTTTCTCGCTTGGTCAAGACACGCGGAGTGACAATGCCTTGAACATTTGAGATTGTGAAGCCGGTCTTCTTCATCTTACACATGACTTCTCAAGCAATAACGTTTCGATGTGCAGAGCGCCCACGTTCGAGTGAGAACAACGGCAAGGACGTGTGGATTTAACAGTCGAGGTGACGGAGCGTCAAAAGTCCTCCGCAGTGGAAAGGCGGTTCGTCTGGCTTGAATAATTCTTAAAAATATATAGTCAACGATTTCATGTACGGAGTATTAAAGTTTCACATCCATAGCTTCACCCACGACATGTCAAAATTGTTTATTTCTCCCAGCGCACCGATGACATTCGTGTGTGTCCCAGATCGAGGTGGCGCAAGCTCACAGTTAGGAACGGATAATCAGATCGCGTTCTACTGCGAGTTTGCACATGCCACAAAGCTTTTCAGCAATGAAACATGCCGAATCTATTCAAGGGACGACTCAAAATCCTTGACTGGATCGAATGAAAGCTAGATGCGGATGACGGCCCTATGGGCTGGTTCGTATGTGTTCGATCACGGGCTGCCGTGCTGCCCCCTCATCCAGCTCCATCGCACGCGTACACCTTGAGGATTTTCAATGGCAGCGGCTGGAATTGCAGCCGTTCATGCTTTCATAGAGCTCAGCGCTCTCACATTTCACTTCTTCCTGCCATTTCGCAGCTTATTGCTCACCTGGATTTCCTATCTTGAGCGGCGGTGTATAAGAATGGCTTCGTTTAGTCGTGCTGCCTAGAGGATAAATTCAGGAGTCATAGCGCTCTGGGGAATGAATCTTCAGCCTCTTAACCCCCTCCACTCTCCAAACGGAGGGAATATCTTTACATTCTCATCAACGCTTTTTTTTACTCCAATAAAAAAATTGCCCGAGAGATATCTCGCATCACCTCGAGTCTGTTGCAAGATCTAATCCACATTGCCCATCAATCGACACGCATTATGGAGGATGGTCTTCGGTTTCTAGCACGAGATGACCAGATTTCTGACGCGGCAAAAGAAGAGCCGGGGAGAAGGATCCACTCGATTCTTGACTCCAATTTTCCTGTGTTTGTGCCATATGCGAAGGAGCTTCTTACTTCGGACCAAGAATTTGCGAGATATGTGTTGAGCTTGAAACCAGCCAAGGTCTACGTACCAGATCTGGGAGCAAAAGCATCTACATCGTCGAGTAGTCAGGAGAGATTGGAGCTCAAGACGCGTTTCATAGACGCTCTGATCGAAAAAGCTGACGATGATGCTTAGAGTTTGGCCGCGAACAAGAAGACGTTGACGGAAAACGCCGATGTGGCGTATGCCACGACAGTAAATCCTCTGATCAATGCCTTCTACGAGCTCAAGAATTCTGCTAAGGACATTGAGAGACTGCTCAATGAAGCCTGGGAGGTGGATCCAGACGCGACACTTAAGATCATCTTCAATACTCGCAGTATTCACCTGGGCAAAGCGGATAAAAATGGTGCATATAGGGCGCTGTGTTGGCTGTACGAGTATCATCCACAGACACTATTGACGAACTTACTTTGGCTGGCTCGCCCAGTGATCGAAAAGAAGATTAAGAATGAAGAGTCGAAGGACGAGAAAACGACTCAAAAAGCTCACGTTTGGATGCATGAGGCTGAAGACGATGGTTATGAAATGATTGATGAGAAAGCGGTCCAAGAATGCTCAAATTTCCAATTTGAGAGTACAAGCTTCCTCTTGGCTGCTGCAGATGCGCCTATGGCTGCCAATACAACGTCCAACGATGTCGAACATGGAGTGGCTCACGGTTACTGGAAGGACCTTGCCAATATCTTGCTCTTGGCTGTGAACGACCAGCTCAAAGTGGATGGCGATGTTGAGGGAAATCTAAATGTCGATTTACGCAAGACCGTGAAAGCTTACAAGCGTGAGTGGGATGTCAAAAAGGCCAAAGAGGCTCATGAGAAGCGACAAGCGTCTCGTCATCTCCGATTTCAGCAGAAGTTCAACGGAGAGGGCGAGACACAAGTGGAGGGCGAAAACTCGTCCAACTCAAGATCTAACAAGAATTTCAAGGCTCTTCACCTGATAGTTGCGCGCCTGTTTGCGTCTCAGCTTCGAGCGGATGCAGCTGCCTTATCCTCCACGTCCAAAATGCGCAGCATCTCCCTGGCGGCGAAATGGTGCCCTTCTCCTGCTGAGTCACATGACAAGCAGACCTTCCTCGTGTCTTCGATAGCAGAAGCGATTTTCCCCGCCAAGGAAGTTTGCCCATCAGGTACCACGGACCGTGTCACTTATCTAAAGCATGCTCGTCTCGCGCTTCGATCAAAGCTTCTGTCTCCTTTGAGAAAGTATCTGGGTATTGTTGAGCGAGATATTACCGCAGGTAATTTCAGAGACATCAAGTATGATCGCATTCCATCGATGGCCATGGATCGATATTCCGGACTATTGTTAAACAGGGACGAGGGGAGTTTTGCCAACTACCTGGAGCGCGTTGTTGCAGGGAGGGCACGGATCTCGGGTGCTGCTCTGCTTCCTTCTACCTTAGTATCGAAAGCCAGGCGTGCATTTGGCCGGTCTGATCGAGATAACGGCAAGAACGCAACGGATCAAGTCCAAAGACTAGCCGAGCAACAACTCCTTGACGGGCAATGGAAAACGCTTGTCCGGCGTATCAAGGACTCCGGCAAGATCGAGTCAACAATCGCTGTTTGTGACGTCTCGGCTTCAATGTTATCGCCACGATTCCCTGATGACAGCTGTCCGATGGACTCTGCAGTTGGCCTATCGCTCCTTCTTGCTGAAGTTGTAGATCCCCCGTTCGGTGGTAACTTCATCACATTCTCTGAACCTCCGAGCATTAGGAAGGTAGGTGGAGCTAGGGACGATCGGACCTTTAAGGACAAAGTGGCGTACATCTTTCAATCCAACTGGGACATGAACACTGACTTCGTTGCCGTATTTGAAAACTTGACCCTGCCCATGGCGGTGAGCAACAAACTCAGGCCAGAGGAGATGGTCAAGCTCATTTTTGTGTTTAGCGACATGCAGTTTGACGCGGCTCAAAAGAGGAACGAACGTTGGACTACTTCTTTCAAAGCGTATCAAGAAGCGTTATGCCGAGGCGGGCTACGAGATGCCTGAGTTGGTATTCTGGAATCTAGCCGATGGCACACGCGGAGCTCCCGTGTTGGCTGACGAGTAGGGAGTTAGTCTCGTCAGTGGCTATTCTCAAGGCATGTTGAAGACGTTCCTAGAAGGTGGTCGGTTCGAAGACGACGTTGAGGAAGAAATTGTCACAGAAGATATCGGTGATGAAGGTTGCGAAAACAACGACGAGATCGACGAGGTCGCCGTCGAGGTCAAGGTTGCGAAGAACGTTAAGAAGGATCCTTTGGCAACCATCAAAAGGGCCACATCTCATCCGGCATATGCTAAGTTGAAGGTCGTCGACTGAGCCCGGGCGTTTGCATCAAAGGATGCTTTCGTCAGCTACTTCCGACGTACATTACATTCACAAGTCAACCTCCACCCATACCTTTATCCCTTCCTCGACGGCATTTGTCGTTTTAATCGGTGTTTGTGTTGGATCGTGACAAAATTGACACCCAAGCTTTACCCCGAGTTACACGTGTTAAAAAAGAAACTTTAATATACGAAATACGTTTGATTTAGTTCCGTGTGTTCTTCAGTCTTCCTCACAGCACGTTTGTGAGTCGTCGCCCCCCTACGAGCCCCCCTTCCACATCCTTCTGGGGTGCACAGTGCAGGTTGAATAACGGATTGTACGAGCTTCTTTGGTTGCTACCCCCGTAATCAGATCACCACGGCCAACTATGCGGCATGTGCACACGGCAAATGCACAAACCCTTTTTTGTCTCGATCGAGTGATATGATCGCCGATTCGACGTTTCTCGCGGCATCACTCCAATTCTGACCTTCAAAATCTGACCCTTGGAAGTCGAGTGAAGCACATGTTCTCTCTTGAATTCATTGAAATGAGGAAGTGCGTCGGTGATACCAGAGGACTTCCCGTCCGCAGCAGTCGCATCCATCAAGCAAAGGCCCCCGCCACACGTCCGGAAGAAGCCATGTATCATGATGCCGTAGTCGTCTCGCGACATGGCTGCTTGCTTATCACTGCCATGGAGAAATTCTGCTCTTCTTGCGAACCTTCCGCACGGTCAAAATGAATAAGACAAAAGTGCATGTGCATGATGAGTTGATGATCGATAGACGAGTGCGTTCAGCCCATCAACCGAGGTTGGGCGGACCATGCCTCGCAATCACAGTGTTCAGACCTGAATTGGAAAAGAGCAAGACCGCCAACGTCGACAGTGTACAACCATGTGTGCTTATCATGATCTTGGCCTGCCATCAAGTAAGATGAGACAAGCACGTTAAGTTCGGGAGACTAAGTTGACTAATGCCGGACCGCCAATCCGAGAGGGCGAAAAAAAAGGTGCCAAAAAGTACCGTACGTACACGCATTTTCCGCTATCCGTCCATCAACTGCCGAAAGGCGACCCTCTCAGGAAACGACGTTCCTCCTCCAACCTCGATGCGCCAAACCTTTTGCTCCAGTCTCGGGCGCCACTTCATACTCTAAGGTGGGTCACGAGGTGATACTTGTGCTTCAAAGGAGATGAATACCCATTAGCCGAACGTAGTCGTCAAATTTAAATCCAGAGCCCACACTGCAGCCGTCTTCCTACAAAGGCGAGCTTCCCTCGTGTCCAGCTGTCGTGATAAAAGAACGACCATCCTTGCCATTGCATCATTGGAGAAAAAAAAAAAAGAACCTCCATCGTACATACGTGGTGAACAGCCGAGAATAGCCGTGCCTTTCTAGCATTTTTTTGTCCCCTCTTCGTCGCCCGAACCTGCGTTCGAAGCAGGCTCAATTCTTAGACGCCCATCTCGGACAGTCTGATTTGAGATCGCCACCCAGTGGACGTCGTCAGGCGGCGTTGTCTTGCCGGATCGAACAAACAAGCCATGTCTCTTCCCTTTGGCGTATATCGCGCCGACCACGTGGGGTCATTCCTTCGACCGCAAGCCATCAAAGAGGCCAGGCAGAAGCAGAGCGCGGACGCAAATACGGCAGATGCGCTGCGCAAGATTGAAGACACCGAGATCGCGGCGCTGGTCCGGCAGGAATTGGCCAACGGCATCCGGAGCGTGACCGACGGCGAGTTCCGCCGCGAGTACTTCCACCTCGACTTTCTGAAGCAGGTCTCCGGCGTCGACGTGGTGGGCTACCTCGAGTCGACCAGCCAGGGCCCGAACGGCTTCGGTCCGCCGAGGTTGGTCGTGAAGGGCAAGTTGAAGCACGACAGGCCGATCCAGGTGGAGGACTACAAGTTCCTTGCGGCGGCGCTGAAGGAGACCGGGGCGAGCGATGCGACCATCAAGGTCTGCATTCCGTCGCCGACGATGCTGCACTTCCGCGGCGGACGGTCGAGCATCGACATCGAGTCCTACCCGGACCTGGACCCCTTCTTCGACGACCTGGCCAAGGTGTACCAGGAGGAGATCCAGGCCCTGTACGAGGCCGGCTGCCGCTTCGTCCAGCTCGACGACACAAACCTGGCCTACCTGTGCGACGCAAAGATGCGCGCCGACGTGGCGGCCCGCAACGAGGACCCGGCGGCGCTGACGAGGAAGTACGCCGAGCTGATCAACGCGGCGCTGTCCAAGAAGCCGGACGACCTCAAGGTCGGCATCCACCTGTGCAGAGGCAACTACAAGTCGCGTTGGTTCGCCGCCGGTGGCTACGAGCCCGTCGCCGAGGTGCTCTTCCGCCACCTGAACGTGGACGCCTACTTTCTCGAGTACGACGATGCGCGGTCCGGCGACTTTGCGCCGCTCAGGTTCCTGCCGGAGAACAAGGTGGTTGTTTTGGGGCTGATGTGCTCGAAGAAGCCTGAGCTGGACGACAAAGCTCACATCATCGCGCGGCTGCACGAGGCGGCCAAGTTCTGCCCCAAGGGTCTCGAACAGCTGTGTCTGAGCCACCAGTGTGGCTTCAGTAGCACGTACGAGGGCAACGATCTTAGCCAGGAGGAGCAGTGGGCCAAGGTAAGGCTCGAGGTTGAGATTGCAAAGGAAGTCTGGAAAGATGCTTGAGCTACATGGGATGTAACTATGCCTTGCTAAGAAAGAAGCAAAAAAATTCCAAGCACAAGAGAGGCTTTATACGCCTAAAACCATAAACCAAATTTAATTGACTTGCCAGAATCTTTACGTCGGACGCAACGACATGTGTGAAGGATCGAGACAAGAAACCTCTTGGACTAGCCAGCGTGACATGTCGACGATGACGAGAAGGGGAAACGTTTGCCGTTTCCCATCATAAACCTTGCCTAGGTGGCAATTAAGGTGAAGAAGAGAAAAGCCCCTTTTTTTTTTCAATACAAAAAAAAAAAATCGTTCCAGACTATCTCAATTGAAAGCACCAAATCGCAGTGGGAGAAGAGACACGGTATAGAACCCTACATTCAAGTTTGCAGAAACCCATTCATGTCATTATGTGCACTACGGAATCAACAAGAAAACAAGGCTGACCCATTCCCGTCCCCAATCCAATCCCTATTTTTGCTTGCATGTGCGACCGAGGAAAAAGCCACAGAACAAAGATTACCATACAAATATGACAAGATGCGCTCACGCAACAAAATGAAAAAAGAGAGTTGGATGAGGGGAGGCATATATTTTCCAGCATTGACGACATATGGTGAAATGGGTCAAAACGAGCCGAGAAAAAATAGGGCTAGAAGGAAAGGATTCAAGCCGGCCGTACAAATGCTCGCTAAAAGGCCACATCAAGAACAAATTTTGAAAGGGAAAAGAAAAGGGCGATAACAGAGAATGACCAATTTTTGCTGATATGTTTCTGTCGTTTTGTCCAACGCATGAGGGTGTAAAAGGTGAAATGAATAGTCAAGAAGAGGGTATCCGCCATTTTGCAAGAAAGAAGCGAGTATGTAGAGGATATGAGACGCGCATGTTCAGGCGCGGCCACCCTTGGTCAAATGTTCAAGTGCCTGCACAGAATTAGCCAAACCGACTTCTCTTCACATCGGCAAAGAGAGAACAAAACTCACCTTGTTAAAATCATAATCATACTTCTCAAGCGCATTCACCGCTAGTTGTCGCGGGAAGCCCATGTTGACGAGTTTCTTCACGTCCTCCACGTCATTGACGCTGCTCTCCGTAATCGAGCGTCCCAATTTGGGGGGTTCGGGTGCCTCGGGTGCCATGGGCGCTGGGGGCATAGGCGCGGCAGGTAGGGGTTCGTCCCCAAATCCACCTGCCACACCGCTGTTTTTGCCTGCATTGCTTTCGGAGCCGATGTTCTTGAACATGTCGTCCCAGTCGTCATTTGTAGTCTTGCTGCCAGATGTGGCTGCTGGCTGACTCAGTGGTTTAAATGAGGACTCGAAGTCATCGAAGTCGTTGAAGCCACTGGCCTTCGAGGACTGACCCACGGTGGGGGTTCGTTCAGACTGCATCGTTGCCGTCTTGCTCGCAATAGGGGAGTCGAAGTGAGGGTTCCAGTCGTCATCAGCCTGACCATGATGTTGGCTTCCAAACACGAAGTCATCGTTGGGGTCATCGTCGTCGTCCTTGGCCTCCGGGAGATCATCAAAGCCTGAGTTGAAGTCATCCTGGAAGCCAGCGCCAGATTTTTGCGTGGAGCTGGAGTCGCGCTCCGTGTTTGGATGCGTTGGAGCAGAGTGGAACGCCTCAGAGTGCGTGCCCGCCGTTGAAGCTGGAGTACCTGTCTTCGGCGGTGGTGAGCTTGAGAACGTGCTGAAAGTAGAGGTTGGAGCGGCGGAAACGCTCTTGCTGGCTGTCGAGCTGCTACCAAACAGTGCATCACCTCGTGTGCCGACAGAAGGCAATTGTGCTTCCTGTGAGGTTGACGAGAGAGGATTTTCACGTGACGGAAGGAGACCGCCAAACTCTGGGGGGAAGTCCTGAGAGCCCACACGCCCGCCACTAGCCGTGTTGTACGATGGAGGGGATTTCTGTGCATCCGGACGGGGGAGTTCGGAAGCCGGTGGCTGCATACCGAAGAAGCTGCTACCGCCAACAGCCTCCTTCTGTTGATCTTTGGGACCAGTTGTTTGTCGCGGAGGTGATGCCTGTGTGAAGCTGTCGCCAAAACCCTGCACGTCATCATCGGAGTCTGACTCATCCTCGTCGTGGGTTTGAATGGGCGGGAACTCCGAGTCGAATTTGCTCTTCGGTATGCTACCATCACCTTGTGAAGAGCCAGTGACCTGACGGTTAACTGCCTTTGCGCTTGCTACACCTGCAAACGCAGAGTCAAAGTCGCTCTTCGATGTATCCTGTCGAGCTGAGAAGGAGAACGGGTCCGAACGTGTACCGCTCTGCTTACTGCGATCGCTTAAGGCGCTCTCGCCCGTCTTATTCGCTTCGATCGGGGACGTCACGTCGCCGGGGAAGGAACCAGGAACACTGTTGCCCAGACTACTGAAGAAGTCATTCTTCTTGCCGCGTGAGGTGTCGCTGGTTGTGCTGGCCACAGGCGATGCTGCGCGGTCGAAGATGGCTGCACCAGTGCTGGCTTGAGTGTCGTGACGACTAGCGCTGGGCCTGTCCGCAGTGGCAGGGGCGGGCGACGATGAGCCGGCATTGGTCGGCGTTTCGGCGCCATTGTACCTGCTCGCTGGTGTCTCCACACGAACGGAGGATGCCGCTGTGTCCAGATGACTGACAGCAAGTGGCAGATCGTTCGACGTGATCTGGCGCGACGCTGGTGGTGCTGGCGCCTCACTGGGGTGAGGCGACGCGGATGGCGTTGGAAAACCAGGCTCGGACGAGGTCACGGACGGCTCTGGTGCTGTGGAGAAAGCCTCGGATCGGAAGGAAGTCGCAGGAGGGCTGGTAACAGGTGTGCCGCCGAAGGATGGACCGAAGATGTTCGTTATGTTAGGCGACTCCTTCCCGGCCGCTGCGCGTTGGAAGCCAGCAGGGCTCATGGTGTTGTCGAAAGACTGCTGCGGCGACTTGCGGAAGAAAGGGTTGCCTTTTGCGCTTGTCGTGGATGGAGTTGGGCTGGTCATACCGGACGAGCTCTGGTCAGGAAGGGGTACTTTGGCAGCCTCCGAAACGGAGCGGTTTAGATCCTCCATCTCTGCCTTGATGGAGTCACGTTCGGTCTCGCTTCTCTCAAGCTGCTTCTTGTTGATGGAGACCAAACCCTTCTCGTGACGAGTCTCGTTCTTCAGCTTCTCTAGGGCTGGCTTGAGCTGCGCCACCTCAGAGTTGACCACTCGCATCCTCTCCTTCAGGCTCGCGTTCTCACGTCGTTCGTTCTCCAGAGCGGAAAGCGCGGATCGGTGTTGGGCCTGTAAATCTTGATATCCAGCCTCGAGCAGGGCAAGGTCCTGCTGAATGCGCCGGGTTTCCTTCCGCGAAGTCTCAAGTTGCTCCTCGAGTTCCTTGACGGCCCGGACCTCTTGTTCGTACTGCGTGCGGAATTGAGAGAGTCGCAGTTCGAGATCCCGTCTTTGGCTATTGGTGCTGGCCAAGTCAGCCTCGGTGGTGGACTTTTTGCTTTGCACGTCCTGCATCTGGTTGCGCAAGATGCCGATCTGGTTTGACATGTTCGCAAGCTCGGACGCCTCGTTCGAAATTTTCTTGCTGCTCTCATCATTGTCTCCCAGCAGGTCGTCCATAGCCGAGACGGGTGCCGGTCTGAAATCACGACTTTGGGCTTGCGAGGATGATCCAGAGCCGCCAGTGTTTTGTGTAGTAAGACCCTGTCCAAATGAGGAAGTCGGGACGAACGGCTTGAAGTGTGAAGTCGTTCCACGTGCTGAAGGAGTAAAGTTCTGGGTTGTTGGCGAGCCGTGGCCCTTTGAGGCGAACGGATCATCGTAGGGGCGTGGAATGCTTCCTGAGCCACCCGTGGTCTGCTGTTGCATGGGCTGAGTGGGTTGGGTTGGCGATGTGGACAGAGCGTCGAGACCGAACAGATCTTCAGCAGCTGATGGCGGCTTCTGGGCTTGCGCTGGAGGTGGGGCGTAACCGGCAGGTTGCGGAGGTGGGATGGCAGTCTTCACCTGACCACGCAAGCTGGGTGGAATGAGGTTGGGGGGCAATTGGGGCGGCAGGTCCGGCTTCGCCTTTCCTCTCTGATCTCGTATGAGGTACATTGCTACGGCAAACTCGTCTCGGTTGAGCTGGTCTTGTCCTCGGATGGTTGCAAGGTCCCAGATCGCAGCCAAGCTCTCCTGTGGCAGCTCGGATTGGCTGAAGAAGTCGACAGCTTGCGCACCACTGATGTAGCCCAGGTTCTGCGTGTCCAGACGGTTGAATAGCGTATCAAAACCTTGTTTTTCTGCTGGGCCGATGATCCATTCAGGCTGAGGCGGCGCCGCTGGCGGCGGACCAAAGGCCTGCCGTGCAAGGGGGCTAGAGGTGCGCGCCGCGTTCTGTCCGCTGAACTGCCTTGGGATGGCTGCCGCCTGTGTCGGACGTCGCGACGCAGCCTCGATCAAACCGGGTGGTAGCGTGGTCGGTAGGGAAGTGATCGCGCCGCTGCGATAGGAGGCCAAGAGGTGCATGGCTATTATGAACTCGGAGAGGGAGAGGGCACTTCGCTGCTCTGTATCCGCCAGGTTCCACACCTGGGCGAGGACCATGTTCGGAAGGCCGGATCGTTGGAAGAACATGCGTGCCTTCTCGCCTAAACCCGGATGTTAGCTGTCTGGCATGTGTGCTCTCTTCGCGCATGCTCACGTACCATCCAAAGTGCCACCGGGCTTGGGGACCACACTCTCGAACAAGCGCGTGTAGTCGGCGACCTTGTCGGGAGTCAGGGGAGGCACTCGCACCGAACCGCTGTTCTGAGGTTGAATGCCCGTAGGCGGATAGCCGGGTGGTGCCACTGGCGAGCCGAGCTCATCAAAGGATGCGCCAGGAGCCATGTTGATGCCTTCAAACTTGGGATAGCCCGGAGGACAAGCTGCGAAACACGCCCGTTAGCTTTCTGACTCTGTGCTCTAAGCAAGACGCGAACCGCGCCGTGTACGTACGCCTCATGGTCAAATCGCTGGTGAGCTGCTGCGTCGGTCTTGCCTGAAAATGTCCAATGAGACGCATGGCTTTTGCAAAGTCCTCCTGCAGCAGAAAGCCGCGGTTTTCCGTGTCTGCCATAGCCCATATCTGCGATCACGACGTCAGCACAGTCCGATTGTACGAGGGCGGGCCAAAGGCGAGCCCAGCCGTACCTCTCCTAGGGTGGTCTCCGACAGCTTCGCCTTAGGGAACAGCGAGACGGCGACCTCGCCGGTGACGATGCCATCCCCCTTCGTGTCTGCTTGTTTGAACAGGCGCCCAAACAATTGCTTCTCCTCCGGGGTCAGATTGAGGCTGGGATGGTCCCCTAGAAACACGCGGTCTGGGTCAGCCTCTGTCCAAATGTGTTGTCGTGTTGTGCTTCCGCAGCACGGCGGTTACAGCAGGTGCGTTGGAATGCTCGGAAGCGTGCTATACCTATGCCCGAGTTCGCCATTACGCTCGACGTGGCCTCTTCCGGCGGGAACTGCGTGCGCGGAGTCGATGGGGGACGAATGAGTCTCGATGGGAGCTACCGAGTGACGTTACCCAGAAAGCGGCCAGCCAGGCCGCCGCTGCTGTTTGCGTGGGTGTGCCAGTCGCTGCTCGCCGGTGCTTCTGGAACCGTGAGGCAAGGAGAGTTTTTGACGAGTGCGAAAGAGAAGCTGACGCAAAGCCGTGCAGGCCGAAGGACAGGATTTTTTTACGGGTTTGTGGTGTTGTGTAAGCTGCGAGTTTGGAGATCACCAACCACCCTGGTGCTGGTGCTTTGTGCTGGGAAGTGCTGGTGCTGGTTGCTCCGAGCGGCGGCTTCTGCAGCTCCCTTGCCGGGCCTAGCCTGGCACCGCGAAGGGCCCAGAGGAGCTGCGAGGTGCCGCGAGGGGGGGCTCACTGATCCTAGGGGGGGGCTTGGTGCGTGGGAGCTCCCAACCACTGACAGAGCGCCTTGTCGCGCCCCCCCGTCTCTCGGGCTCTGTCTGTACACTACCCTTTCGCTTTCGTCGCGCCACCGCCTGGCAGACCTGGCTTCCGTCGCCAGCGCAGACACACACCACTCACTGCCTTCGTCTGGTCGCCTGCGGCGACGTCCGCCCAGTTGCACAACACCGCCCTCCGAACGCAGCCGGCGCGTCCATCGTCCCGCACGACAGCCCCAAAGAGGTTTCAGCCAGGCTGCCCCCCTCGCGAGCCCGCCCCCGCGCATGGGCCACGCTTCTCGTTCGTCGCCGTGCAATTTTGTCGATGGCGGGTTTTTTTTTCTCCTCGAGCTTGAAAGGACGAGGCTAACGGGCCGCGACGACGAATGAAGTCACGACACACTTTCGACATGCGTCAGGCTCCGCAGCCAGTTCGTAGGCAGCTCGCCCAATCGGACCCATGCTGGTGAACGTGATCACTGCCGCCTTCGACCGACGGCTCGAGCCTTGCTCTCGCCGGCTGGGCCCTCGCCGAAGTGCAATGCTGCGCGCTTTGCTGCTTCTCGTCGAGGTCGCTATCTTGTACTGTTGCCGGCGTTGTCGCGGGTGGTGTCAGCGTTTGAGTCGTGCTGCTACTTCCGTTACCATTGCTCGAGAGGGGCTGGCTGTGACGAACATCGTGAATCTGTCGGCAAGCGAGCACGCAGTCTGGTGATCCCGGCTTGCAGTTTGCAAACATGTTCATCTCCCGCTGTTGAAATCTAGATTATGCACGCTTCTACATGGACATGGGCTCCTTTGACGATAGACGTGTCCCAGCGAAGCAGCGGAGGACTCACCCGAAGAATGTGATATTCGAACCGTTATGAAGGGCCTCGCATGTGAGTCCTCAAGCTCCCCCCATGAGCCGTGGAGGAGCGGGCTACCAAGCCTTTCATCTGTACAATCCATTCGACTCTGTACACACGTAGCTGAAGCATCCCGTGTCAGCTTCGCAGGATTACGTCTCCATGATGCCACGGTCTTTCTACGCAGGATGCGTTCGAGCCCGGCTCTCTGGTGCTCCTCTCCCACAGGCAGACAAGGCTGAGAGACGGCCAGGCTAGCACAGGCGAGCCCTACGCGCACAATGGCTCAAGTCTCAACGTTCGACAGCTGGCAGCCTCGCATGCGCGCATGCAGTGTCACCGCGTGCCAAGTCGTGCCATTCCCAGACCAATGTTGTCCAAACCCAGTCAACCGTTAAGATGCGCTTCCCGCTGGCACCGGTCTTCCTCAACGCTCATGAGCCATCGGTCCCTTAAACTTTCTCGAGAAAGACTTCAAGATCTGCCAATGGGCATTGAGCACAAGGCCATACAGGCGTATACTGCGTCAGAGTTTTAATAAGTTTCCCATCAGTAGAGGAAACAGAATCTGAACAGGTCTCAATGAGAGTAGCAAATGTTCCGGTTGTATGTACTGTCCCAAAGTCAAAACTCGATGAGCGAAGATGTTTGTGATTCCATTATTTCTTCTTCTCTCAAAATCGCACATTTGGAGGCGAGAGGTTACCACAAGAGATGCCAAAGCTGCACTTTCCCGCCCCATCCGTCCCAGGAGCAAGAGAAGAAAGCGTAGCGCGACCTACCAACTCCAAGAAGCACTTCGCTAGAACGCCATGCATCATCCCTTTGCAATTTGAGAACACACGAGAATGCAGAAACACAAGCACGTCCTCTACCCGTAAGGCAGGGTTGGACCATCATCACACCTATCGTACACATTCAAACATCACCGCCTGTCCCTACGCGTGCCTCCCTCTAGACATCCTAACGCAAGGCCAGGCTGTTCTTCCTCCTTCTTTCCCCAAGCCCGGCCCAGCAACCAATCCGTCACCGAGATAACCTTTGTCGTGCGATCCCACAGACCGCCCTCTTCAGCATGTTCAATGACGTGCGTGAGGATGCGGCCTTCCTCGTCAAACTCGAACATGAAAATACCGTGAAACTCTTTGTCCTTGTCCACAGCGCGGCCGTCGTCCCCTCCAACCCACTCGGCAATCTTGTCAATGCTGGATACAACGCCGTTGGCCTTGCCCTTCGGACATGTCTTCCAGCGCACGATGAGCTTCTCCTGTCCCGCTGTCGCGGTAGGGCCGCAACCCGTCTTCACCATGCGCTCCGAGAGGATGATAAGCTTCACATTACCTAGCACAGGCACGCGGCCCCATGCCACGGGCGAAGTCCACAGCGCGGCCGTGTATGCGATCTTGCCCGTCACGGTCGGTAGGTGTGGATGCGTCGAGGGGAAGAGTCGGAGCGTAATCTGTGGTGACAGAATCTCCTGTGGCAAGGGCGTGATTAGCAGCGATGGCAGGCGTTCCTGTAGGATGCGTATGGCTGTACGTTCATGCCCTCGTCAGTAACTGCAACGTCCACGCCAAAGAAACCGCAGATTAGGGAAAAAAAAATCATTCCATACTTTTGCCCAGCTTCACAGTCCGCTCATCGTTTTTCTTGTAGTCTAAGCAGTTATCCTGTCCTTCCTCACCGGGCGGCGACCCAAGTGGGCCGGTACGACTGAACCACGCATCCTTCAAGCCCGGCTCTTTGTTGGTGCCCACCTTGACTAGCAGTCGTCTTCGCAGGCCGGGGCTGCTCTCTGGCCAGGACGGCGCGCGCGCAAGGACACGACGCTCTGGCAGCAGTGGAGTGGCACGCACCAGGCTCTTGGGCGCGAAGGCACGCATCGGAAGATTCACAGCGCATGCATTGAGTGGCGACGAGTAGCAGCAGTAGCAGCGCACACTCCCTCAGCAAGTCGAGCTCGTCGAAGAGAAGAAATAGGCAGGGAGGAGGAATGGTAGGAGATGAAGCGTACGCGCCGTTCGAGACGAGAATTGTGTGACGGGTCAATTCTGCACTGAACGGATGGAAGATCATCTGGCCTAGAAACTGGATCGATGGGGACCATTTTTCTTCCTCGACGACCGGGGTAGGCACCACCCACAATGAGCTGCTGATGTCATTGGCCGCATTTGGCTCTGTAAGGCTGAGAGCTTTCCCCTTCCGCCTTCGTTCTTTTTGTTTTTTGACCGAAGAGGAGCCTGGTCGGCAATGCACATTGCAAAGCACCCCTATACGAAAAAGGATACCGTCCACTGAAACAAAGAAAAAAGAAGGAGAAAAGAAGATACCCCTGCGGTGAAACCGACTACCACGCGCAGAGAGAACGGAAATATCAAGAACAGAACAACAAACAAAGAGACGGCCCAACGCACGTTCAGCGCGACTTGCTCGAGCAGGCTTTCCTTATTCCCTCTGCCTCCCTCCCTCCGAAACAAATGGCCTCCGAATCCGACGCTCCAGTCATAACGCCGTTCCCCGCGCCGTCGCGCACAAAGATGGCCACCGTCCTCTCCATCCCCACCAAGGCGACGTCCCTCCTCTTCAGCGACAAGATCCTGCTTACGCTGTCCCAGAACGGGCGGCTCGCGCACTGGGTAAGCACCCTCTCCCCCCTCGCCCTTGTTCTCAAACCGCCACCGCACCGTCCCCACGCTCCTTCCCGACGGCGACGACGCCGGCATGCCGGACAGCAGCTTACGGAATGGCTCGCATCAGGTACACGTGCCCCTCGCGCCGGCGCCGGCCGCAGACCTGCACGCGCCTCTGCGCGCCGTCGATCCTGACACCGCGCTCCTACCGGACACGCACGCAACCGCGACGACCATCCTCGGCGGCACCGTACCCGGGCTAGACATCCTGGGCCAGACGCTTGCCACCAGTCTGGCGAGCGCGATCGCGAGCAAGAGCCCCGGTGAGAGTCGGCTGCTCGTGCTGGGGCTGGGACTCGACCGCGCAATGGAGGCTGTTCGGAGCGAGGACTTTGCCGAGCTGATGGGCTTGTGCCTGGATGTGCTGTGAAAAGAAAGGGAGATGCTCACAGTGGCGGACGATGGAGGGAGGAGGAGAAGCACGTTGAGCTGAGATGGACTGACGGCGATTTGTTCTGCTCAGGGGTAGCGTCCTTGACGAGGAGCACGAGAAGCGGTGGTAACGCTAGACTATCGTTCTGATGATGATTTCAGACACTGACTGGCTCTTCCTGGCAACCTGTGCCCTGAGTATATTTGTATGGAATCGCGCCGCATATGCTGCAGAGCAGGATCACAAGTGCTCAAGCACGACTTGTCAAAAAAAGGCCACTTAAGCGCATAAAAACGCGTGGTATATTAGCAAGCACAGAGGACATGCTAGTAGAGAAGATGAAACCGGATGCACATATCCAGCAATTGAAAGTACCCTACATAGGAAGTCGAGGTTGAGGACAGAAATGGCCCTCCAAAATGGACACGTCGCTGCATAATCTGTTGAAGGCAAATGAAACGGAACAACAGATGGTAAAGAGGCACAAGTGACAAGTTTAGGTCTGAGCAAGCACAGAGGGGACAATGAAAACGGGGGAGGAAAGGAACTCATACACGCCACCAGAGGAAGGCGGGTGCTACATACAAGACACGCAAATTTCTACCCTCGCAAATCCGTGTGATGTAGAAAATTTAAGTTTCTTTCTTTCGTTCTTGATCGACAAGGGACCCCCTCGCCACTCACTACCGTGTAATCGCCCGATGGACTTTGTGACAACGTGCGACCCTACGACACAGACACATACACCCACCCTAGCTTTTTGAAATCGCGTGAAATGATCCCCTTTAGCATCGCTTTGGCCCTGGTTGGTGGTAGTCGTGGGAAAAAAGGATTCGTTTGTTGTGTAGTTTATCGAAAAAATGTGAAGGTTTGGTTTAGTTGCGTGATCTCTAGAAGGTTTTTTTTTCTGAAACTAAACTAGACACCGCGCCACCCCCGCGCTGGCGCCCTTACCAAGTACATAACATGCATGCATTTGACAAAGAAGTTGCGCGTGAATTGACGGGAGCACAAGAAGGATAGCGCTAGTCCCGTAGTAAGGTTAGCAAAGAGGGCGCTCAATCAACTTTCGGAGTGTCACATGAACAGAAGAACGTGACGTACCTTAGAAGCACTTGCGGTGGACAATGGAAGGACCGCTCTCGTCGTACTCCTGCTTAGAGATCCACATCTGCTGGAAGGTCGACAGGGAAGCAAGGATGGAACCACCGATCCACACAGAATACTTGCGCTCTGGTGGGGCAATGATCTTAACCTTCATCGAGGATGGAGCGAGGGCTGTGATCTCCTTCTGCATGCGGTCGGAGATACCTGGGTACATAGTGGTACCACCGGACTAAAGATTGTATCGTCAGCGAAGGCCGATGCTCATCAATTGAAAAGAGAAGGCGGGTGAGAATCGAAGTATGACATACCATGACAATGTTGCCGTACAGATCCTTGCGGACATCGACATCACACTTCATGATGGAGTTGAAGGTGGTGACGTGGATACCACCAGACTCGAGACCAAGGACGGAAGGCTGGAAGAGGGCCTCTGGAGCACGGAAGCGCTCGTTGCCGATGGTGATCACCTGGCCGTCCGGAAGCTCGTATGACTTCTCCAAGCTGGAGCTTTGGCTGGCCGTCTGGATTTCCTGCTCGAAGTCGAGGGCGACGTAGCAGAGCTTCTCCTTGATGTCACGAACGATTTCACGCTCGGCAGTGGTGGAGAAGGTGTAGCCACGCTCTGCCAAGATCTTCATCAGGTAGTCGGTCAAGTCACGGCCGGCCATGTCGACACGCGAGATGGCGTGGGGCAAGGCAAAACCTTCGTAGATGGGGACGACGTGAGTGACGCCGTCACCGGAGTCGAGCACGATACCGGTGGTACGACCGGAAGCGTACAGGGAAAGCACGGCCTGGATTGAGACGTAGAAGGCTGGTGCGTTGAAGGTCTCGAAAACAATCTGAGTCATCTTTTCACGATTCGACTTTGGGTTGATAGGAGCCTCCGTAAGCAGGACTGGGTGCTCCTCTGGCGCAACACGCAACTCGTTGTAGAAGGTGTGGTGCCAAATCTTCTCCATGTCGTCCCAGTTGGTGACAACACCGTGCTCGATGGGGTATCGCAAGGTGAGGATACCACGCTTCGACTGCGCCTCGTCGCCGACGTATGAATCCTTCTGGCCCATACCAATCATGATGCTGTGCAGCTGTCAGCATTTCCACATGGCCTCACAGTCATGTGAGGAGGGAGGAGGATGCTAATTACCCATGGTGGCGTGGCCGGCCGACGATAGATGCTGCAATGGCGTGTCAGCGAAGTGCTACGCTGCGAGCTCAAAAGCCAAAAGCCGCCCACATCACAGTTGACTGTGCCGGCGAGCAGTAGGCTTTGACGAAGATGGTCAGTTGGGGGCGGGAAGGCCACTTACGGAAGACTGCGCGAGGAGCATCATCACCGGCGAAACCGGCCTTGCACATGCCGGAGCTGCCACAGTGTCAGTAAGCAATATAGACCAAGGTTGTGCGATGCGCAGCCAATGCGGAGGCCGATGGGCAAGCAGACGAAAGCTTCGTGTCGCCTCGGACGGGGAAGGGAGAGGGTGAGCAGGCGAGGGCAGCTTACCCATTGTCGATAACGAGAGCTGCGACTTCCTCTGCAACAGGCAAGACACATTAGCAATTGCACACAAGACAAGCCGTCAGGAACAGAGCGACAGAGCGGGAGGCTGTGGCACAACGAGTCCGGAGACGTGATCAGGGCTTCGGCGGCTTACCTTCCATGGTGGTGGAGTGTTGGAGGTTGAAGAAACGGGGCTAACGAAAAGAAGAGAAAAAGCAGAGGACCGGCTGAGGGGGGAAAACAGAGGAGGCGAGAGCTGAAAGCGAGACACGGCTCAGCACGCACAAGCGTAGAGGGTGGGTGGTTCGAGAGGAGGGATGAGCAGTAGATGAGGAGTGGCAGGCGAGATGGGAGTGGATGTGGACGTTGTGTGGGAGGAGCTCAGAGCGGACGATTCTGGTCTTCTTGTGCTTGTGCGAGAATGGCGGTGCGTCAGTGCGCTCGCGCTTGCCGATTCTGGCGGGGTGAAATCACAAAGGTTGGCCCAGCGCTCGCTGTCACGCTTGCGCGCTTCTCTCGCTCGGATTGCAGCAACAGCAGCAACAGCGGCGGCGGCAGCGGCGGCACTCGTCTCGTCGATGGATGGCCTGCGGTGCCGGTCCGCTGCCAGAGCTGCCCAGTCTGCTTTATACCCGTCCAAACGAGCCCTTGCCGCCGGCTCCCAAAACGCTGCAGCCTGTGCCCGCTGGGTTCGACGTCTGTCTCTGCTGTCTGCGCTCGCTCGAGTCCACGCGGCCGTGACACTCCGCCACGGGCTCGCCAGCCAACAGCGCGCCTGTCTCTGCTTACCGTTAGGCAGCGGGAGAAGGCCTCTCTTGGCCCGTCCTGCTGACGACTGTGCCGACGACGCCGTTGATCGTCTGTCCGTTCTCGTGTAGAGCCCGCATCCGCACGAGCAGACAAACGCCAGCCTCCCTGCCTCGCTCCGCTTTCCTGTGGTTCCTGTCCCAGCGCTTGGTGCTTTCGCCTCGTCCTTGACACACCGACACATTGAGGCTGTTGAGGGCTCCACTGAGGGGCAAATGTGGCCCGTGCGCTTCCCGCAATTCTCCAGAGGAAACGACATCATCGGCGAAAACTTTTATTTTTGCCGCTCCATGACTGCGACTTACGCGCGGTACACGTCTTCTTTACGTCGCCCATCTCCCTTGGCCCTCCGTTGTCGTCTCTGTGGCCACTGCACGCCCAAGCGTATGACTGAGTCTGTAAAATCCCGTGATTGCCTGACTGCAAATCCGCGTCGCTGACGCCCGTTTGCCCGTCGTCGAATCCCAGAGAAGTGTACAGTATCTTCTTACAGCTTCCTGCAAATACGACCGCAAAAGTCGGCCTCAAAAAAGGCAATTTAGATAAGCATCAATTGTGTGCGACAACTGCACCTGCATTTTCGTTCGCACTACGTCTGTGCTGAAGACATGACGTTTTGACACACTCGCTTTCTGGCAGTGTTTTTTTGTTCACGGCGCAAGTAATTGAGAAGAAGCACAAAAAGAAAAGGCAAGCTTTTTGAATTGTGCCCGTACGGCTCCTCCACTTCCTTCACAACCACTGAACACACACATACTCCGAAGACCATCACGAGAAACGTCAGCCATGGGGAGCCAACAGAATGCCGACCTCACAAACCTCCTTCGTTGGTCGATAGAAAATTCAAGCACCTCCTCCGACCCCAATGCCCCTACAACAGGCAGCACGTCTGGCCCGCGCACACAACTAGATCAAGAGGCGCTGCGGCGGCTGGTGTTCGGCGGGCCCTCGGATGCGGACCGCATGAAGGATGCCATGGCCACGATCCAGCACCCGGACGCATCGCTGGACGACAAGCTGACGGCGTTTGACAACTTCGAGCAGCTGGTCGAGCAGATCGACAACGCAAACAACATGGAGCCGCTGAAGCTCTGGCAGCCTCTCGTCGACCAGCTTAACAGCGAGGAGGCCGAGTTGCGCAAGTGGGCAGCTTGGTGCCTTGCCACAGCCGTGGCGAACAACGCCAAGGCGCAAGAAAGAGTATGTGCCATCTTTCCCCTGGAACAACGCGACAGAGCAAGAATCTCGGGGTGTCTAACGTGATTTCTGACAGATGATGGTTCTTGGCGCGATACCGACACTTGTGAAGCAAGCTACGCAGGACTCGTCCTTGGACGCGCGGAAGAAGGCCATCCTCGCTTTGTCAAGCGGGGTGAGGAATTATCAGCCCGCCATGGATCAGGCTGCCGAGCATATCCCCAAAGAGCACCTTCCCGAGGGCCGGGTCGACGCAGCGAACATGGAAGCAATCGATGGCATCATGAAGAGCCTGCGTGAGAGCAGCGCGAACAAGGCCTGAGCCAGTACCCTCGCAGGGAAGCATCGACGCGGAGTCCGATGCCTGGATAAAGGGAAGGCAAGGAAAAGACGCTTCCAGACAAGGAAATTTAGGACTTGGGATAGACGTTTCGCATTCTTGGAAAAGAGTATTGCAGGAGACTGCAGCTCACTGTTGGTCCGGCGAGAACGATTGGTCTACCTCATGGCTTCCACTCGCATGTACGAGAACTATACACGTGGGGAAAACACCGCTGGCAAGAAGCGCTGATCAGCTCAGCGGATTGAAACACGCGGGTCAAATAGCCGCGAAAGTCACGTAAAAAAAAAATTCAAAGTTAACGTCTTCAATTCGTTCCCTCACTTCGGCAGGAGGCTGCCCCTCTCTTGTTCCTGAACCTGCTTCACAACAACCCTCCACCTGATCCTCTTTGCCGCATATCCACCAGCCTGAACGTTGTCCTCATACTCCTTCACACTATGGTGCCTCATCGCCAGATGTTTGCCTCCGCTCTGTCGCGCGTTCAGCAGGCCCAGGTCGAGCACTTTTGCCTCACCCGGCCGCATCGGCATATGGTCCTCCTTGATCAAGAATAACGCGCTCGTGAGCAGGCGCTGCCACGCCGTCGGGTCGTCCGCCAGCTCGCGTACGTGCACGCCGCGTGCCGGGCCGTGGCCTTCGACGGATTTGCCTGGCGGGTGCGACGAGGACTCGCCGGAGTGCCCGACCGCCGGACGCGATGATCCGTCCTCGTTCGCCCGCGGAACAGACGTCCCAGCACTATCTCTCCCGCGCGGCGTGAGCTTGAACCGAAACGTGACGTTCTCCTCGGCCTCGAACCAGCGCGGCCTCGGAACGGGCTGCGCGACGCTCTGCCTAACGGACCGAACAGCGGAAGGAGCGGTCGCTGTGCGCGGGGAATCTACGCCTGGTGTACCGAAGTCCCGCTCGATGATCCCTTCCGTCTCATCCGTCACAGATTCCTCGTCATCCTCCAACAGAGGCACCGGCTCGAAGGTCTCGCCCTCTGCCTCCGATCCTTCGCTCTCCTGGTACCCGAACATGACCGATGGCCGCGAGCAGTTGGTGTATGTGCTGAAGCGGCTGCTGGCGAAGCGGGAGGAGCCGCACTCGGTTGGCGTGTGGCCGCAGGAGCGGCACTGGATCGCCTTCAGGCCCGGCCGCTCGACCAGATCCCAGGCGCTGTGGCCACAGTTCGTGCAGTCCGAGTTCCTGACGTCCGCGGTCATCATGATGTTCACAACGTGACCAAGAGCGACTGTGGGCTTTCACGATTCGGAAGGATGCAAGTGTCGGCTGGTTGTGAAGGCGAAGGGGTGTAGCTGGAACTGGGAAGGGACGATTGAAGTATCACCTACATGTTGAAGGCAAGAATTCGCGCCTCGGGCTCTTTATCGAAGTGATCGCTCCACCGTTCCCAAGATCGATATTCTTGCGGCATGTGCTCCTCGCGCTTAGGGTCGAGCGAATGTCTCCACAGGCCCTCTTGCTCGTGATCATCCTCGAAGTCTTGGCTGAATGCTGCCTCCAGCGCCCCACCGTCGCGGCCTGGAGCCCACAGCGAGGAAATTTGATCGTCGTCGACAAGAATGACCATAATGGCACGAGCCCGAGTGCTGACGGTTGCAGCATAGGTGGAAGGAGACACGATTGGATCAGATTCTTGGCCCAATATCCAAGCAGGCCAGTTGGCAGTGTTGGAGAATCGAAGTAGAGCAGATCGGGTTTGGGGATCTACGACGACGAGGCTGACGCCTAGCCGCAGGATTTGGAAAATCGATCGTTCAGTCCGAAAGCCGCACTTCCTCCCATGTCTGACTCCGGGACATGTCTTAATAAATTGTCGTCCGCCTTCATGCTTCAGTCAGACATTCGAAGTGCTCGACAGGAGGTTCGGAGGTCAGCAAAGCTTGGCTGTGGATGACACGGTTTCGGATTTGAGACGGGCAAGAGGCGGTGCGAAAACAGCTGACGAGAACAATTGACCTTCGGAGGGAAGAGCAAAAAGAAGCAGAGAGACGACAGCGACAAGAACAACCAAGAAATCGAGGTTAGGAGGACAAGAGGTTCCAAGAGTTTCAGTGCGTGTCCCCTGCCTTCAGTGCATGCAGTAGACCGCGGACACGAACGTCACGTCTGTCCCAGAATATGTATATCCCAGACGAAGTCAAGTCGCAGGTTCCAGGTGGCCAGAGCTACATGCTGCACACAAAGGTCACGATTTTGTCGTCTCGTGGGCCCAGATTCCTTGTAGGATCAATAGCGTCATGCCTGGGGCTGTGGGGTCAAGTCAACTCCAGACTGTATTGAGGTTCAGGCTCAATCCTAGAGAGACGGCGTCGGCGCTAAGTCGTTTCAGGATGCTGACAGATCCCCCTGTATAAAGTCGGACAGCCTTGCTTCGCACAACTGCGCAATCTACTATTACTTTCGAGTGGGTTGTATGATCGTGATATCCTTGTTGTGGAGCAGAGCACTCGTCTCTTACGTGGAAGGAGCTCGTGGGAGCTGAGAAGCGATCTTCCCGTGGGAGCTGCAATGGTTTTCCCTCGAGGCTGTCGCTTTGAATCTTTTCTCGCCGCTTTCGGACTGTCGCCGCCGTCATCTTCACGCAGATATATCACAAATTGTCTCGCACACGCCGCCTACAATGCCGTGGCTATATAATCCATCTACTTGAGCAGTTGTGTTTTTTAAGCCTCATGCTTGAGATAACTCAGCTGATTTTTCTAGTTGCGATTTTGTGATACAAATCGAGTCTGGCCCAATTTGTGCCCTAATATGACAGGAGGCCCAAACACACAACGTCTTGACCGAAGTTGGAGCCAGAATACTGGAGTGAATCCTTGGGGCTTTGATCGCTTTTGAGGCGCAAAGCGTGCGTTTCGGTCGACGCAAACGTAAAACTGGGACATGGATTTTGATCTGTCCCCTCGAGTTCTTCCTTTTTTATCCAACGACGAGACGAGCTGACATGAAACGTCTCTACTTCATAACCGTTGCCACTTTGATCTCGAAGGGCGGGAAGGATGCCTATGAGCTGTCCCCGACGGGTTAGCGAAAAGAGAACATGGCGCAGATGAATTTTTTTTTCCTCTCCGGTGAACAACGTCGTTGACGGCGTGCCTGGAGCGCGAGCGGGCTTCGCAGCCTTCACCACGCAACACGCCCTGAGCGGAGAGCCTTTTTGCAGGCCTCATGGAAACACGGTTTTGGGGCTCTCGTCCGCTCTAATGGAGATGACCACACCCTGCCGCCTTGCGCCGAACTGACGTTGTACATACGTGAGTTTCTTTTTCAAGAATATGCACGTCGAATTGAATGCTGGAAGATGTCTTGCCTCAGCATGGGTCGAACCAGTTTGTCTGCCGTGTGCGCAACATCCTGGTGTGTCCGACTGCGCTTTCGTCATCTTTCGCTCCAACGAGGAAGTATGCAGTTGCCTTTCAGAAGTTTGTTGTAGCGTCCGTCCGCAATAGTCTAACCTACATAATTATTTAGAAGTTGCGACCCTTGCATGCACGGCCCTACGCTTCGCACCTGGTGTGAACCACCAGCGCACGTAAAAATCTATATCAGTTGCAATCATTATCCGATTAGTTTGAAATCAAGTACTATAATAAACTGTATTATTATGTACCTATTTACAAAGTCTCAAAGCCATCTAGCCATCGTGGCGGCTTTTGTTCGCGATTGAGCCGACCCGGAGCTAAACTTGAAGGATCACCCTTATCTACCTCTACTACCTCACTTTCAAGCATATGAAGCTCTTATTTGCTATCTGATGGCCCAGGTAGGCAGGTATCTCGGTGTTGAGCCTTATTAGGTATAGTAGATGGTTTCTTCGAGGCTTTGGCACGTGATGTTTTTTGAACTTGATCAACATCCTTCTGGATAGCCTTCTGCATCCTCTGATCAGCCGCCAACGCCTTGCGTTGCTCACGCAATATGGCCAGCTCATCCTTCCTAAGTGTCTTACCCTCTCTTTCCTCTTGTCTCTTAAGATCTGCAGCCTCCTTCGTTGCCATCTGGAGGTTCTCGAAGTCCTTCCTAAGCTGGATTGCAGCCTTATTCCACACCATAATATTGCCATGCTCTTTTTTGAATGCAGTAGATGCTAGGTTTTTACCTCGCTGTCGCTTATCTTGCTCAGTATCTGCAGCGTTTATATAGCAATCCCTCTCATGTTCTGCAATTGATAATGCAATTTGGTAGTTTTCAAGGTAGTCCCCAATCCGATTCACTAATCATCTATACCGTGCATGGCAGTTTTAAGCTCACGCCTAACTTGCCTGAACTCGTGAATTGACATAGCTGATGAGCTTAATGCCGCTGTGTTTGGTCTAGATGGTAATTGTTCGATAGGATTGATAGTCGGGATGATCTTTGAGTAATCCATTGGCCATATGCCCGCCTTTGCAAAAGCACCAGTTATACTAGCGCTAGTAAATGACTGTAGGTAGTCAGACCAAAAGACACCATAGAATTCACGCTTGGAGAACCTGTTTCGACCGAACCGATCAGCGTACCATTTATCTAATTGCCTGCTGTAGGCCATAGCAAAAGTTCGAAATAGGCCTATATCAAGCGGCTGCAATCGATGTGTTGAATGTGGTGGAAGCACTGCAAGAAAGATTCTATGCTTATGGCAGAGATCGAAAAATTTGGTGGTTAGATGTGATCCATGCCCATCCAGGATGAGCATCCTATATTCATCAGGGTCATCCAACTTAGCACGTGATATGGTCTCAAATTGCTGTAACCACCCTACTCCAATGTCATTATTTGTCCATCCTATTACAGATGCAGTAAATGCAACGTCATCTGTCTTCCAGTTTACTGCTGAAAGCCATTGGCTGGATAAATGAGCAAAGGTCGAAGCCAAGACCTATCTGCGCAGATGGTGGCTACCAAGGTGATCCAGTCTCTCCGATTGAAACACATATTGAGTTCAAGGATCATTTTTCTAAAGTTATAAGCCTAATTAATGCCAACTGGGCCGCCGTTTCAAGCAGCAAGCAGATGATTAACTTAGATAAACTAGACGGTTTAACTACAGAGAGTGAAATCAAAGGAAAGCACATCCTTTTATAGACTGAAAGGACTCGCATACCTTATGGCCTTATACTGATTATGAAATCAGCATCCCCTAAGGTGATTGGTAGAAGCGCTCATTCTGCTTAAAATGATCAAAATGATCACTTCACATGATTCCTTACGTGTTACTTCGTCACATCACCCATGTGACTTCATGCTACTTCGTAACAAGGGAATTCTTATTTGATATCAATTAAAAGATAGTTTATAATAACATAAGAATTGATTTATTTGAATAAATAATAAAGAATAGCTCAGCTTTAAAATCATAATGATAAAAGAAATTGTCTAAGTTTGGCTCTATAATACACGCTTACAGATTACAATAATATAGCCAACCCTTTCAGGAAGGTCATAAATATAACAAAGTCTGTTCAAATCAGCCGAGGGTCGTAAATGAACTTGTCGAATGTATAAAAATGAAGAATGGGCGCGGATTAGAGAAGAATTTGAGTTGATAGACAGTGGAACACGCGGCAAATTATGGAAGGATCTAACAAGAAACGTCCAAGTTTAATTATGCCATATCTTGCTTGAACCGAAGTTGAAAAGTTGAATTTACGGGTGAACGAAGACGGCAGGGACCAGTTCAGATATAGGAAAAGGTAAGAATGGCTGCTACGGCACAGACACTCATTTAAGAAAGACTAGATGAATAGGTTTGTCGGACGCATACCGAGGTGCAGACTTATGCATGAAATTATGTATTTCGCCATCTTGCGGTGCAGACGTATTCACGGAGAAAATCAAGTGGAGGGGTGTTGACAAAGAGCCATCAGAACTTTGAGCTGGAAACAGTTGCTCCCTCATTTGTGATATATTATGCAGACTTTTTTCTGACGCCGGGCATAAATGATCTGTTAGTCCATGTCTCACATCGATCCATCAACGTGTCTTGCTCATGGCCTCTTGGTGAGTTCGACCATGTCAAGGCTCTCAACGACGTCGAAGTTACGCCTGTCTTCCTCGGAGAGCGCTGCATTTCCAGGCCGGTCAACAAGGATGGCGTGTAGACCCGCTTCCTTCGCGGCAGCAATCTCTGCGTCCGCGTTAGCGATGCCGTCCTTCTGCTCCGAAAAATGACGAGACAACGCATACCTTTGACATTATCGCTCAAGAAGAGACACTCGCCGGCGTCTTTGCCCAGCTCCTTGACAATCTTCGTGTAGCTCTCGGCCACAACTTTCGAGCCCGCGTTGACGGTGTCGAAATTGGCGTCGAACAAACCGCTCAGATCTTGGGTTTGAACTTGCTTCTGAGATTTCCCTGCTGCTTCCGCGGCAAGCTCAGGATCAGCCCAGCTCTTTTTCGCCGAGGCAGCTCCTTCCTTCGTAACCTCGCTTGCCATCTGCTTGTCTCCCGCCGTCAGTGCCTCGCCCGCTCTACCTTCGGTCTTGGCTGATGCTCCTTCCAAAACATTGTCGTCATCACTCTCGCCCTTGCTTTGCGACAGGTCCGCGTTCGGATCAATGTACCTAAAGAACAGCTTCTGCGCCTCCACACTGCCAGAGCTGAATATGGCCAGGAGATATCCATCCTGCCGCCACGCCTTCAATCGAGGCGTAACATCCCCAAACAACGGCACGGCAAGCACACCGTCGGCGTACCCCTGTCGCCAGATGAGGCCTTGCAGCTTTTTCCATGCAGGATCTTTGATGTCTTTTGCCGCAAGCGCTTGACAGTGACTGATCACAGATTCGGGTGCATCTCGTACGTCATCTGGGAAGGCTGCTTTGTAGGGCTGGAACGCTTCCTCATTCCACTGACTGGTCACGACCTTGCGCAGGTTCGATGTTGCGTAGGGATACTGGCAGTGCAATCAGTCAAGGACGGCACTGATGTTGGACGACTACGACGACGACGAAGAAGAAGCAATCGATTGGACAGAAACAGGATTGACCAGTGCCGTAGTGGGCTGTTGAGCGAGAAGCACAATCTACCCGGCCAGCAGTGAGAACCAAAACGCGAGGCTCCTAGCAGGACGATTGTCGGCTTTGAAGACACCTGCGCGCTGCTCTGCGCCTCTCGTGGTAGCCCCCCTCTTTGGCGACAAAGAGCACAGCAGTTCGCGGTAGCTCCGACTTGTTGCACTCACCAGCACACGTGCTACAAACCAAATCGGACACAGCGTTCCCTCTACGTATCACAAACACCAGTTAGCGGGGGCTCATCGAATCAAGAGCGTCAGCGGGATGAAAATGTGCAATCCCATGCATCCGTTGGCCCCCTCGCCGACTGCCAAAGACCAGCAATCATCTCACAGTGCAAGGAGTGAACGCTCCGGGGGTGGCGGAGCTCATACGCGCGGTTTTCAACCTCGAAGCAAGGAAATCCCGATGCGGAAAGCTTATTCATGCCATCGTGACCACTTTTCCATGCCGGCGCAGGAAGGCACGAGGACAACGCCCGCGTGGAGGAGGAGCCAATCCCCACACTGGTCAGCGTAGTTGATCGGAGCCCAAAACGTGCGCGGAGGACTGCCGAGCTCGTTCGCTTCCACGTCGTCGCACACGCAGCGAAAACATCGCGGAAGGTCTGCTTCGAGAGACGGAGAGGGCTCATGCTCGAAGAGCACGAGATTCGCCACTCACGAGCAGGGCCAACACCAGCCGCAAGAAATACGCTTCGGAAAGCGGTTTCCGCAGGGTGTGTAGATCGCGCAGGAGGCATTGGCTGCGAGCCTCGTGGTGCGCAGATGGCAAGGTCGCCTCATCCAACGCTGAGTGGTTGGGCCACAGATGTCGACGCTCCCGCTACCAAGTCTCTGCAAAGCGGCCAAAATGGCTTCCTCGGGCCGTCATGTGCAGCCATGGCGATGCCCTGATGGACTCCAGCTTGGGTGGTGTCAAGAAGTGCATGAATTGTGTGCGTGGTCTCCCCTTCTCTCCACATTTGGCGTGGGCGATGCACTCACCGATGTCGAGGACAACCGTCGATATGCCTCTCAGCTTGACAGTAGACATCGCGGACGGCTACAACACCAGATTATTTTTTGCTTTCCTGCTTGTGATCGAATTTGCTGGTAAGGTGCGCGCGAAGGATGCGACGGGCCGTGATTGGGCGAACGTTCGTCTTCACCGCCAGTCCTCGAGGGCGACGGAAGATTTTTGTATTTTAAGATTTGGGGGGGCGTGTGCTTCAGTAGTCGTCGTTGGAAGAAAATTTTCCTAGCGGCGGATTCTCTTTGGCTGATCCCACTGCGACATGTGTGCGCGTTGAGATGTGAGCCAAAGCTTACGTTGGTATCACAGCGCTCCGTACCCACTCCATCGTTAGCCAGTCACCGCTTTGTACGTTGAGTACAAAACGATCTGCACGCTTTTACCTTCTACAATATTCCGCACTCAGCATGGTCACACGTTAGGTTTGAGGACAACATTCTGTCTATCGTTGCGTCCCGTCGATCAATGACGGGCACAAACTTTCGATTACATCTCACGCAGGCCTTCTTGTTGAACCCGTGAAGCCGTCAGCTGTGAGTGAGTCGACAAAAGGTTTTTTTTTATTTTTTTTATTTTATTTTATTTTTGGCAAGCCTGCTGGTCTCGGTTCGGCATTCGTACGACGAGACCATCGCAACCTCCAGGAGTGTAAACGATCTTCCGTATGCGGCTAATCTATAACATTTGTTGTTATGCACGCTGTGTTCCTGCACCACTCGCTACGACGGACGGAGAGGCTGGGAGGTTGTGTTGTATTCTCTCGGATCCGGCATGCTAAAGGCCATTGTGCATATTTGCTGTCAAGGCGCGGGCCTTCGCCGATGCGCAGACGGACGTTGCGCTTCCTAATTTTACAAAGAAGGCTCTAATTGCATGTCGTCTAGATTTAGTGTGCCCGGTAATTCAAAAATCCTTGCCAGCTAAACTATTGCTGGACTATGATGAGATGGCAAAGACCAATCTCTGTGGTGGGAGCAAAAGTTTTCTCGCAGCGGTGGTCAACACATGAGAATCTTGTGTACCTACACCGTACTTTCGTGTCCGCCAGTGAGAGGCTGATGTCGAAGCCTGTGTGAGGGCCCAATGTTGTTTGTGGGTCGGCATAATTGAGGGACGGCAACAAAGGTGCAGCGTTTAGGGTGTTTGGGAATAACACCTGGCCACTGCTCGACAGAGGAGTTGTACATCCCAATTCATCAGAAGAGAAAAGAAGATGTCTGAAAGACACGGCAACCGTGGCCAGAGCACCTTGAACAGTCAAGTAGAAACAGAGTGAATCGCCGCTTTGTTCTCCACACAGAGCGGGAAGACGCGCTGGCGCTACGACTCGGGACGACTCCGCAAATAATCGGGAGAACGCAAAATCTCCTGAAGCGCCTTTGCGGAGCGCCAAAAGCCTAGCGTCAAGTGAGACGCGAAAGGAGCGCTGCAACGTACAAACTAGGCCGCCTTTGGGGCCAGTAAGGACAGCAGGTACAGCAACAGTCGCTCCCCTTGCCAGGAACGGGATCGGGCAGGGTGCGATTGGAGGGAGGTCGGCAAGAGCAGAGAGCGGTACTTGTTCATGCAACAGTGACCGCAGCGGACGCAGGCCGTGGTGGTGCCGCGTAAAAGGTTGGATGCGCTGGAGGTGCAGCAGAGGAGTCGACGACAGCCAATCCAGGGCGACGCCGAGGGCCCAGACACACGACGGCCAAGACGCCAGGCCAACCCTTTTTGGTGGAGCGCAAAGTCTGAGCGTCGGCCTTGCTGGCGCCCTGAGCATGGATGTCATGGAAAGCCATCGAAAGAAAGGTGCGCCGATCACGTCGTCGGTCTAATTTCGAGTCCTTGGGGTTGACGCAACAGGTGAAACTGCTATCTACCCACAATCACACCATGGGGTTCGCTGGCCACCACAGCCCACCAGACTACACACCACCGCTCTCGGGTCCCCAGGGCGGGGATCAAACGCCGCGAGGCCAGCATGTGTTTTGAAAGCATGGCAAGCTGTAGGCATTGGCGAGACGGGGTCGGGCACGCCAGCACTGCGTCGACTGACGCGCGACAAGAAAGCTTGCGTGCGACGGCCAGACAAAGACGGACAGCCTCCTGACTTACATAACCTCTGCTGCCACACAGACGGATGGCGGACGAGATGGACACGAGACGCCGCCCTAGGCGGAGAGGCTTTGATCATGCGTGTCTTTTGCCCGTTGGCGCCTGGCCGGCTGCCATTGGGTGGCGCTGCTGTTTGTTATCGGAATCATACAGCCTGCTGGACCAGCGATGTATTGTAACGCCAGATCGGGCATGGCTCGGCGCATGTGGCCTGCCATTTGTGGGAACGATGGACGCCATGGGACATGCTGCTTGGCTCGACAAGCTTATCTATCCAATGCCCGACCGCGCCCGGGTCGCGTCCCTGGTCGAGGATACAATACGGTACAAGCCCCGGCGCCGTGCTGTACCATACGGAGGCGTACGGTACCGTACGCGGGTGGCCAGCTCGGTTGAAGATCAAAAAGCTACGCCCGTTTCGCATTAGACCCGTTTTCCCAAGAGGAGAAAGGGTGGCAGCTGCCTGCAGCAACAAATTGGGTCGGACTAGGCCAGGTAAGAGCGACCCACTTCCGAGCGTCGTGTGTCTGCTGGCTCACTCACCGCCCGCCGACCTTGAAGCTGCATCGCTCCTCTTCTTCAAGTCTCCTACATGCACTTCACCTCTCCTCGAACCATGACCTTATAGCCTTTCTTGTCACCAGCCTGGACTCGTTGCTTGTTTTCCATCACCTTTTCACGCTCCCTCGTTTCACACGCTGCTTCCTCCTCTCGTCATCACTCGCACACTCTCACAACACACACTCTCTCCCGTGTACGTCAGCAGCGCCCCCGGCTCTGACTCCCACGCATCCCGCTCGCAACCGCCGCCCGCAGCTCGAGGTGCTTGAAAACAGCAACCACGCTCCACGACAAATCACCACAAGAACGGCGCCGTCCTCCAATCCGCTGTTCAATTCAACTGCTCTGCCCAAATTACCTTTTTTACGAACTCTCCTACGACCTTTACGACAACTGCTACCGCCACACTGCTTGCTCTGTTGCCTCGAGGAGAACGCGAGCTTCACGATCCTAATCCACCAGATGATTCATCTATCCACTCTTTAATCTCTCTTTGGTCCTTTTCAACGCCGTTCATCCTGGTCGGCACGCTCTGTCCATATATTGCTTGCTCTTTACTCACGACCTCTTCCGACGATCCGAGATTGTTACTGCTTCCTTCCGTTATGCTGGAGTCTGGCTTCTGAACATCAACATCAATCGAACAATCAACCCACAAAAGCGACTCTAGACCGCGTTCTGCTTTCCGCGACTTTTGGGATCCATTGTGCTCTCCTCTTGAACAGCTTGCTCCTTCCGCGTCATCGTCTTCCAGGCTCCTTGTCTGTCTGCAGTGTCATTGACATCGACCCTGAGCAGCACATCGAAGCCCCGTCAGTCCTTTTCATTCGAATTCAACGTCCATGGATTGCATGCGAAACAACTTTGTTGACGGTGTGCTTCTAGATGGACGATATCGAACCGTGGCGCCTCTCAACCATGGCTCCTTTGGCATGGTCTTCAAGGCCTACGACACGTGGACCGGCGAGTTCGTTGCTCTAAAGTGTCTTACCAAGCCGAATGCCGCTCACAACGTGGGCGAATTTGCTGTCGATGACAGATCCGAAGAGCTGACCATCCACCGTCGCATTGGCTATCACCCCAACATAATTCGGCTTCTGCACCACTTTGAAACGGAACATCACACCTACCTCGTGCTCGAGTTCTGCGAGAATGGCGACCTTTACGAAGCCATTCGCGTTGGTCGCGGTCCCGGTCGGACCGAACATGTCCGTCAGTGCATGCTTCAGTTGGTGGACGCGATCGAGCACATGCATCTCAACGCTGTCTACCACCGTGACGTAAAGCCAGAGAACATTATGCTCGGCAAGGACGGCGCCATCAAACTTGGTGACTTTGGTCTGGCCACGATGGAGTCGTGGTCGACTGAAGCAGCTGTTGGCAGCGACCGTTACATGGCTCCTGAGCAGTACGATCCAGGCAACGTTGGCTACTCACCAGCCAAGGCTGACATATGGGCCATTGGCATCTGCCTGCTCAACGTCTTGTTCTCTCGCAACCCGTTTGCCACTCCTTCCCTGGATGATCCGCTCTATGCAGACTTCGCCCACGACAAGCAGACCCTCTTCGATGTCTTCCCTACCATGTCTCAGGACACGTTCGAAGTCCTAACTCATTGTCTTGCACTTGATCCTGCGAAGAGGTCTCTTGCAGCAGTTCGTTCTGCTCTGAAGCGAGCCCTCTCTTTCACTACAGACGACGAGACACTGGATGAGTTCTGCGTCGACGACAACGTTGTGGTCACTGCGACAGCCAACAGGATGCCCCTGCGCACTCCTTCAATCCATACTCCACAGTTGGATCAGAGTGGTGCCTTCCCGTGGGCCAAAGCTTTGGCCTTGACTCCGAATGCTCGTCAACTTTCTGTCATCCCCGACACGGAGCTCTCAGAGCCGGTCGCAGCAGCTGAAAAGAACTCGGATTGGTATGCTGTCAAGCCAGATACTGCTTCTGTTGCTTCCTTTGTGGACTCAGGTCTTGGTGTGTCCCTCAAATCCACCGAACTTCAGCTCAAGCCGGAGACTGCTAGGTTCAATCGTTCCAAGCCGGTGCCCATCTCTGGCTCCCTGCCCATCACTATGGGCCGCCCCGTGCCAAGCATTTCAGCTGTATTTGGCAAGAAGCGTGATCTTGTTTCGAAGAGTTGGAGCGATCTTTGGGACGAGGAGGAAGAGGAGAACGCAATTGCCTCCGACAACGAAAACGACATAATTCTGTCACGTGGCCGGCAATCTTGGAGAGATGACGTTGAGGGTCAAGACACTCCCCGCCAGGTTTTGAGCGAGCTGAAGAACCCAGACACGGTTAACAACAGTCGCAATCGCACTCCGGTCGCTGTGGACGCTATTGAGGATCATGTCAGCGAGCACACTGGCTTTGTTTTTGAAGAGCACGACACTCCGCGGCCGGGCTCACCCGTCACTCCAGCTGGCGACCGCTACTCTCCACCATCCAAGCGGGCGTTGATCGACAAGTGGGCTGCGCTTGGCGACCGTCGCAGAGCATATCCAACTCCTTCGAAAACTCCAGTTCACATTTCGACACCTCGTAAACGCAGCCGAGCTGGTAGCTGGCGTTCCCGCAATGTTGATGGCAAGCCGTACAAATCTCCCCAATTTTCTTTTGTTAATGACTCTACTCACACTTCTACAACCGGCGTTTTGGATCAGTATCAACGACATCTTAGTTCTGGACGCAATGGCAGAGCTTTTACGACAACCAAGGCTCATCACCATTATCACCCGATGGAACAACATCCTTGGCTCTCGAGCAAGGATTGGCGACAACAGGTTCCTCCCCAGCGGGAGGAACCTGCTGACATTTTGAGTGGGTGGAGGCGAGGCCTTCACTTGTAGTGTCTGTCCGAACTACGTTATTTGGCACCATGTCTCTTCTTTCAATCCTACCACCACCAGAACTTGAGGAGTAGCTTCCCCGGAGAGAAACAAGGCGTTTTTTTTTTAAGTTTGTACGGTGTAACAGGTTCGCTTCGCCAAGAGCTTACTAGGACAAAATTTTTGTAACTTCTTTTTTTTTTGGAGCTGGCAGTCTGGTTGCTGAACCCGAAAATAAGGCAGGCGAAGATCATTGGGAAACTTGCATCATCAAATCTTGTAAAACCACTTCAAACTGGATTGGGCTGGGCTTCTTTCCGTCGTATATTTGGGCTTGTAGTTTTAGATGAGAGACCCCCTTTTGATCTCCTTTGTTGATGATGGGATACAAACAGAACTTGCTGCATGGGAAATGGATGTTTAGCGTGAATGATGGTTACATAGGAGAAGGGAAGCTACACACTCCGGGCAGAAGAAGAGAGATGGTACGGATCAGACATCCTGGACAACACTACGCATCTGAGACTGTACAACGCAATCTTCCAGTGGACACTGATCTCAAGTGCCGCTGGTGGATTGAAGATGATCTGGCTGCGTATTGCTAGATTGACAACACAAATATCAGATTTACCCACTCAAATCACGTTTGTTCTGATTTACTGATTGCAATTGACTTTGTTCGCTTCAATGATGGGGAGCATGTAAGGGTCACGCTTCGATTCAATTGCTGTGATCCCCTCTTATGTTGCTTGCTTCGAAGGTAGGGCCGTGACGTTTTTCCAACTATGCAGCAGCGATCCGCCAGCCAGTCAGAGACTTTACCCCTCATGTTCTGATTGCCATCTGTTTCATCTCCCGACATGGGAACTACTTGTACGGCCCCGCGGTTCAAAAGGTGACGCACGGGATAACCTCTCATTAACTGCTAAAGCCCACGAACACCACGTAGCATCATAAGACGATGATCTTAATGCGTGTTGGCACAACGCTGTTCACTTAGCGTCCCAAGGATCGCCCAAATCTCTCCGCAATGCGGAAGCCTTTTGAAAGCGAGTGCCGCTGCGGACTAAAGGATGACGGTCGGAGATGGAGTTCCACGTGCCAGCTCGTCGCTAAAGGGCAGCACATGAGCATGCATGCTCGCACTCCTGTTATTTGGGAACCCCAAATAACCTCCGTGTCATCGTCGCGTGCTTCCTTGGAGGAACTTTTGCCTGTCAAACGGCAGTCTTCTCCGTTCCGCGTGGGACACGCCTTGGGGCTTCGTCCTTACTGGCTCCTTTGAGATGTGGCTGTTAATATCGGCTAAGGTCTCCCTATCTTCCCGCTCGCTTCCCTTTCTTCTTTTTCTTACTCTGTCTCTCTAATAAAAGACGATGAGATCGCTCGCAAAATGACATGTTCCATCAGCGTGGTCTAGCCGGTAGCCACGCGACCTGACCGTTTGCTCCAAACCGCAAAGAGTTGGAAAAAGAAATAAAACAAGTCATCAAAAGTCTAATTGGACAGTGATTCACATCTGCACGCTCGGCGTGGCCTGACTGATCATCAATGCATGTACGGAGCACTCCGTAATCTGTACTTGGCTCTCATTAACTCATCTCATTTTTCTTCTTTTCCTCGGGCTATTTATACAAAGGGATCCACGCAAAAACTACGCGCGTCGGAGTCGATCGCTCATAGCAGAATGTGTGATCCCAGACGTCGCAGAAAAAGAAAGAAAAAACAAAAGGCAAAAGCGGAAAAGAAATCATTACGGCGCGTGTAATAATCAGTAATCCATGTACGAGTCCTTCCTCTCGTCGGATGATGCCACGTTCTGGATCGTGCCGGCCGTCCACTGCCGGAATCGCTTGCCGTAGAAATAGAACAGCGGAAGCAGCGCCGTTAGCGCGGCGAGCACGCCAGCGTAGATGGCGAAGCTGCCAAAGAACCCGCGCTGCTCGACCCAGGTCGTGGCACGGAAGGACATGGCGAAGCCGACAACGCACCGGAAACTCGAGACATTGACTAGGACGGGTCTAAAAGACGCGGGGCTAGGTTAGCGCGTGCTCAAGCTTTTTTCTGGGGATTGTGGGGTGGAATAGCGAAGTGTTCTGGGCCCTTTATTTTTTCTTGTCCTTTCGCCACACCGAAAACCGGGGGTGGTTTACAAGTAACAGTCGCGGGACTCGTGGATTAGTCCCGGGTCTGCGCGGAAATGACTGAGCGTTGTACACAAATGACGTTCATTTTGCGGCGGGTGTACTGTGGCGAAGAATCATGTAGGACTGGTGGACTTACCCTGCCCATTGCGGGTAGCTCTCCACGATGTAGACGGCCAGGACGGTGTTGACCGTGAGGAAGCCGACGGCGATCAGGAAGATTCCGCCGAGGAGGAGCGGCCAGTGCACAGTCGTTATATGCTGACCACCATAGCCAAAAAGGAAGCATCCGGCAATTCCACAAAGCAGTGGAAAGATGGCGTTGATGAGATGCGTTTCAGCTTCGCGACGACCTCCGTTGCGTTTTGCCATCGCGTTGGAAACCTTGTCTGCCACGTAGCCTCCGAGCAGAGCTACAAAGGGTGTTGCAACAACGATGGGAACAACCGCTAGCCCTAGGTTGCGAAATTTCCACCCTGCTGCGATCAGAACGGATGACGCGGTCTGGGCTGCAGCGTTTTGCACGGAGATGAATCCACCTAGAGCTGGTGTTAGAAGCTTATCCGAACAAAACAAGTTGAGCGGCAAAGTCTTCGAAGTTCTCGACAAATCTGGACCACCTCTGCTTCAGTGCTGCCAGCTTCGACGATGCGAGACGACTTTGTGACGTGTGGGTAGAGGAACAGCGTACTGTTGATTGCTACGACCCAGAGCACCGTGGGAAAGAGCATGGTTCGAAGCGTATCGAGCATGCTCTTCGCCGCCTGTTTGTTTTCGAATCCGTTTTGGAAGACGCCGAAATTGGTCCACGTTGTCCGAGGGCTGTACGTGTTGGTGTCGAGACGCGGGCGGTTTTCGCCAGGTTCCAGATGGTAGACGGACTTTCCAGCTAGCTCTTCAGGTGAGCGCGTCCACCGCGTTTCTGGCAAGAAGAAGCACAAACTGAGCCATGCTCCAACCGCTATTCCTGCAGTCATAAAGTACACGGTTCTCCAACCCAGTCCGGGGGTGACCACCATCACTGGCGAAGCAATGCCGATCGAGACAATGATCAGTCCCTGTGCCGCCCAGATAGAGGACATTGCTCTGTTTCGCTGGTGGATAAACACCAGATCCTGCACGATCAAGGGAATCAGGGCTTCCACGGCGCCAGCGCCAACACCCTGTACACATCTCGCCGCGATGTGGGTATTTAAAGATCGGCTCATGCCAGCGGCGAAGCCACCCGACCATGCTAAAACCCCACAAGCAAGCATGACTGGACGTCGTCCAATGGATATCGACAGAGGCACGAGGAGATAATTGCTGATGCCGTTCGTGAGGAGCGGCAGCGTCGATAGGAAGGAGATCTTCCACAGCGGCGGTCCGCCTAGGCCGGCCAAAAGCTTCAACGGATTGAGGTCAACGACGCCGGGCGGTCCCAGTTTCGATATATCTATCGTCCCCAGGATCATGGGGTTGATTCCTGCATATTCCAGGGCGAACACCGGCGTGAGAGCGCCGATGATGGTTTCGGCCGACAAGGCGAGCGCGCCAACTTTGAGCCTCTTGTCAGCACGCAAGAGTGGTGAGCACGTCATCTGCCTTACTCACAGAAGCACACAGATACTATGGCGGCAACCTTTCGCCACGTGGGTAAATTCAGCGGATCTGTCACGGATGTCAGCTGCGGAGGAAATCTAGAATCGGTAATGGACGGATCACCTTTCGGGTCTGGCGACGGCATAGGAATACAGCGAACCTGCCCATTCTGATAGAGATTTGTCGTCCCTACGACCTGCGCGGGATCTCCAGCTATCCAGGTCTGCGATCGATTGGAGTCGAGCAATTCCAGCTGCGAGGTCGACGACAGGGCGTCCTGCCTCGTCGCAATCTCCATCAGCTTTGCCATGGGCGCCAGGTGGACTTAAGAGGTCAAAAGCCTAGCTGTTTGTTCGACATGCAGAGACCTGCCAAAGCACGCCGGAGAGAGAGGAATCTGAGGATGTGCAGGGTCACGCGAGTGCATAGATGGGGATTCTGGAGTGGAAGGGAGATGCATTCACAAAGAGTTTAGACGTTGGCACGTTCGACCGTACACGCGACATTCACTTTCGCCAGCGCAACGTATTCGGGACAGACAAGGCGGTGGAAAGCAAGTGAGCGATGCCATCTCAACTTCTATTGGTGACGTCGAACCCTGCTGTTCATGCGTTTGGCAAATTGCAGCGAGTCAGGGAACGGTGTGCGGTTTGAGGACGCATAGGAGGGCGAAAACAAGCTCGTATCTGGACACTCAGCACGCCAATGCAAAAACGTTATTCCTACTCCAGACCGGGAATTTCTGACTGTGAAACACCTTCTGGAAGCTACAGGTTGTTTGGTGTAGATGGCGAAAGACCAAACACGGAGAAGGGCGGCGCACTGTGAAGTGAGACGTGGGGAATGAACCATCGGCCGCGATACTTGCTGCATGCGGGCTAGCGCAGATTTCTCCTACTGGGTAAGGTTAGAATCACCTTGATAGGGGGATCTACAGCCCTAAACGCCAAATCTCGTTGCTTTTTCCTTTTCATAAGCTATTCTCATGGTGTCGAGCAGCGCGTCGGTTCCTGTAAGAACACCAAAAGGCGATAGCCAAATTTGTGGCTTGGTGCAGCACGTAAGCGATCCGCGTCAGGATTCCAAAGCGACTGAAGTGAATTACGCGGCCCAAAATGGACCAGTAGTCGCCAACACAAGAGCATATTCGAAGACCGCTGTCGCTCTGGAAAAACCGTCCAAGATTAGCTGGACCTTATATTAGATACCTATGTGGCCTGGAGTTTTCCGTATTCATGAGCACAACATAGGTTGAGCTAACCCGATTAGGATGGACGTTAGATGGATCTTAAATTATTCCACATCTGCAGTAGCACCATCGCTATCTGTTGAAGTTGCGAAATCTAAATTCACGACACTCCATTCAAGAAAGACTATAATCGAGGAATGACTATGAGAATGACTTTGGCTAAGGGCTTTTCAATAGAGCGTAAGGGGGAATGAAGTAAGCGTTATACTGAGATAGGCGATTAGTGTACTTAGATTGGTAGTAAAGCTGACTACTAACTAACATCAAGCTAAGCTTACGAAAATGCGTGGAATATATACTACGCTGTCGTGGCATACACGACTTACACAACTCACGCCCCTGATCCATATATTTCTGTGTTCAGAACTCTTACCCCACCCCTCCTTTCCCATAGTCTGGTCCCCAGACGTACTGATTTTGTGTTGCTATTGTTACGAAGGTAACACATGAAATTACGTGTGTGATCATTTTTGATCGTTTCTGAAAAATGAGCAGAATGATCACTAGCTCAAGTATACAGATGAAAGCACATCAACAGCGAGTACTCCCATTTTTACGAAATAAGGAACTCAATTGTGCTCTTATATTCATCATCAAGATCATGGCTCCCGTTCTGAGCACCTTATCGTGCCTGGCGCGTGCCCCCTCGTCGCCAGTGTCTATATGTGGTTGGTCCTGCCTGCCATGGTGGCATGACAAACGGCAGGATCGTCTCTAACGCCTCTTTGCTTAGCTCTTCCATCTTCCTCACCTCTGCCCGTAATTTTCTGCAGTGGGCTGCTGTATCGGCTTGTCCTGTGGTCCTGTTGTCGTTCCGAGCGGTCTACCAGCTCCGGGACCCCTGAGCTGGATTGCAGCCGCCCTAGCGCCTCCATGTTGTGTTTCCATATCTGCTGATTTAACGGACAATAGGTGCGTTTCGACGTTCAGTGCTGGCCGTGACGTCGAGGCACTCAATTAAGCACTAAAGCACACCTGAAAGCAATTGAAGTTATAGGCTAATTTATTACTATTACTTGTGTTAATCTAAATCTATGGAAGCTTAATAACCTAATTATCTTCTCCGCTATCATCATTGCCCTCTTCTTCGATTTCGGGATTAATACCAGTCGCTTCGCCAATCTCATCCGTAACGATGCCACGAGCATTATGCCTAGCCACGATAATCCTCTCCGGCTCAAAGTCATCTAGAATGCAGCGGTAAGTGTACGTTTTCACTGCCTTCTGTGCCAAACCGGTCCTCCAAATACGTCCTTTCGCTTGCTCTTCCACACTGCGCAGCCATTCTGGTTGTATCAGAAAGCAGCGAAATGCCCGTGTCAGTGAGTAACCAACACCAAGATTTGAGCAACGGCCAAACAAGAACCTCGTGGACGTAGTAGAATTATTATCCATGAACCAGTTGACCATTGCCGTCTTATCCATCTTTGAAAGACCTGGGCGAAAGTACTCTGATTTTCCGTTGCAGTATTTGTATTTGGTCCACATGTACATGGTGAAGGCTTCTGCTGGATTTGCAGAAAAGCAGACGAAAGGCTCGTTTTTGTCCAATTGATCCAAAATCTTTCGAAAAAGTCGTATCTTTGGCGATTGATCGATCAAATCCAAGTGCAAGTACGCCCATAACATCTTTTCCTTGCTATCATCAGTTGCCATTTTAGTGATGGCATTAGAAAGAAGCTGGTTATCCGGAATCTCTACCGTAAGCAGGTGAGGAAAGCAAGCGAAGAAGCGGGTGGTGCGCATTGCCTTGAGACAATTTTCTTTGCTAACCGCAGCCTGAAGATTGCCGACGCTGATATCATCATTCTTTGATCCCAGTTGTTTAAGCAGAGCTTTTTCGCGGGCTTCAGCATATTCTTGGAGTTTCTTGAGCAGTTGAGCGTCCTCCTTATTAATGGTGACATGGACATCTTCAAAGCAATGTTGAGGCATTGGAACAAGCTGAATGCCCTGGAGTGTAGTCTTTTCTGTGCGCCTAAGCATAATTTTTCCGACAGCATTTTCGATTATGCTGATGAATTATTGCTTCAAGTTGAGGATATCTTGGCTGTTTGGATCGAAATCCTTCTGCCTGCTAATACTGATGATTGAACGCCACTTTATTCCAGCATCATCAAGCTTCCAAGCAACGCACTTCTTCTCATCGTTACTAAGAGATTTCTAAATGCCATTTTTAGCAATAAAAGCAAAAGTCTTTCCTGCACCAGGCTTCTGGATCGTATGCCATTTACGCTGAATGATCTGTAGAGGTAGCTGTAGATCCTTAGGCGACTTATCCCATGCCGTAGCTAATGCCATAAGGACGAATGTATCCAGATGCTGGTCAAACAGAAACCTCATAATCTCTGTATTAGGGCTCCTTGATTCGTGGATCTCGTCGGCTGCGACCCTGCTCCACAGGACGTGCTGCAAATTGGTCTGCTGGATTCGACGATAAACGAGCTTCTTTGAGATGAGCAGTATGTACTGAGAAGTGTGCGGTATATAGCCCCAGCCTTCATCGTCTTCAACGCAGAAGAGCTTCTCATGTTCACTAGGCTCGTATTTAATGATGCCGTGGGCCGTGTTCTTTGTTGCGAACTCTTTAGCTTGCTTAGGACTGAGACTAAGACCTAATACAAAAAGTAGCATCTGGCAAATGTTGTTTTAATGTCGACATGCTTTCGGAACTCTTTTTGCCAATTTCCAACAAGATTAGGAGGCACAATAAGGAGAGTAGCTCCATCGGAGAGCGTTAATGCAGAGGCAGGCCTTTCTCGCATGGACAAGCGAATGGCCATTTGCTATGTCCATATTTTACTTTAAATGGACATGGTGTATTTGGCGAGACATCCTCTGGATTGTGCTCATACCCTCCTTTAAATTGACAGGATTGGACATCATTTTGAGCAACGCATACCAAATGAGTAAGCACAATCTCTAAGAGTATTTCCAGTGATTTTCCAAAGCCAGTATTGTCAGCGAGGTAGCCTCCCCGTAGGCTGCTGCTACGGCCATCGATCATTACAAAGAAATATGCGGCAAAGAGCTGGTAGATGGCAACGGCAGTCTTGATCCCAGGAAATCGAAGAAGCGACTTGATTGATATATCATGAGGCAGCTCAAAGAAGTCGCAGAACTCCTCAAAACGTGCCGTAGTCATATGCTCAAGTAGTCTAACATTAGAGAGAAGGGTGCGTACTTGGAGCATTTCATCGGTTTCGCCTTCAACTGGTTCGCCATTATCAATTGCTGCAGTCCCAGCAGTATCACCGCCGTCAAACGACAGAGCAGGCACAGGAATTCCAAGGTTGAGGTCATACTGAGGAATCTACTCAACCGTCTTAGGACCATATACAACTCGACTAGCCAGCGTAGCTAACGAAGTGTTAGGAATACTTTCCCAATACCGACTAGCTTCACTAATGTAAGCCACTTCGGAAGGGTTTAGCTTCCTAGAGCAAAGGAACAAGATATAACCAGAGCTTATTATGCAAGGAATATAACAAGATAGTTATGTTTATGACTTAGAATAGTATGAGCTTCAAGAGTATGAGAATGTATTCGAACTAACTACTAGATAAACTAGACAGTTGAATTACAGAGAGCTGAGTTGGAGGTAGGGACAGGACATTTTTATAGACATAAGAAACTCGGTGATCACTCTGATCATTAATGATCAGACTGATCATGAACTGTACTCCTGATTCGTCCATTCCTCCGGGACGAATGACGATGTTCTGCTCATGCAAGTCGATCACCTCGATCATGAATGATCAAAATGATCGCTTTTTCACGTGATTCCCATGTTACTTTGTAACACAGAGCAGGGGGAAGTACCTGAATCATATGGCCGGTCCATTTTGGCGGAAGCCGAGGTGGCAGCGGTTGATTGAATTGTTGCGCCTTTTTAACGCGGGGAGCCTCCTCAGCAAGACGGCGAGCTTCCTTCTCAGCAAGACGGTGAGCTTCTTCCTCCTTAAGATGACGAGCTTCTTCATCCTCAAGACGGCGAACTTCCGTAAGACGACGAGCTTCCTCTGTCTCTGGCTCTATGAGCTCGACATTACGGTCACTCTTCCGCGAAACTAAGCAGGTTAGCGGCATTCATCATAAGCTTCATATATACTAACTTTCTGGTGCAGGATCACCTTCGTCTTGAACAACAAAGAATGAGGAAGCAACTGAGGTCTCGCTCGGGGGCCCAGTGAAGTAGGTCGTGAGATATGTGATTAATTGCGTATCATTATAAATGATACGGAACGAAGGGACTGCTGTATTGAGCGCCCAGATATCGATTTTATTAGTCCCGCGCTGTAGCATCTCATGAATTGCATTTCAGAAGGCATTGTAGTCAATGTCGGTGCAGTATATTGCTTGCTCTAATGATATTTGAGACTTTCTTGCCAGACTGATGTTAATACGATCAATGAGCTCATAATACTTGAAGTGTACCATGCGATTGTTGATCGTGAACTGCTCACCTTATACCTTCTGCTGGAAGACTCCAGTGTTCACCGTACCGAAACTACCGTACATGCTCTTATCAGTTGAAGAAGCCCCATTGCTCTGCTGCATGTCTCCCTCCTGGGAGTTCGATGCAGCCGAAGTCGATCGTCATTTGTGACCCTCAGACTGCCTCTGCGCATTCTTGTCAATCTCACGCGATCGCTGTATGTTGACAAAAATTAAGAGCCTCTCTGCAATGTACCGCGCAGTACTGTCCCACTGAGGCGCCAAAACCTCAAACTGTGTGCCATCGATGAGAAATTCTCTCGCACCTTCGCAGATATTATTGACAATTCTACTCTTAGTTATTGCGCCATTTGACCTACTAAGCTCGGCCTTTAGGTTATATCTTGTATACATATTCTCGGCTTCATCTTCGATTACCTTCAGAACAACATCACTTATTTTTTTAAGCTCAGCTTGCGTGACATAAAGAGCTTTGCGAAACTCTCCGGTGGTCCATGTATGCTTTGATTTCTTTAAGTTATTGTAGAAGGCATCATCGGCTCAGACACGTGCCAAGTCTTCCAGCTCAGGCTTTGGGGGCATGTTGAAGGCGATGATGATATCACAGGCAGTGAGATAAATAAAAGAGAAATATTATTCTAAGGCTACTGAGATCTGATGGGAAAGAGTGTGCAGTTGGTCCAGTAGTAATTTTCAAGGTGTTGGTGGATTGCAAATAACATGACCGGTCATGCAGGAGTTATGTGATGATAGTTAGTATGGTGATTGATATTAGCCAACTCCAGCTACTTTTCAAAGTTAGCTAACCGCAGCCAACATTAGCCAATAAGATACATAGTTGGCACACTTACCAAATCCTTTAATGCGTGTATGAGCATAATTATAATTATAGTTTTATGAACTTTCTAGTATATGAAGTTAAGCATAAATAGTGGATAGGATGGCATATGTTATAAGTAACACGTGAGGGAACATGTGAGGATTTTATTGGGATCATTCTGCAAGAATGAGTTGAATGAGCGCCGTTCGGAGCGACAACAGGATCACTGGAGAGCCAAATACAGCAGCCCACTGCAGAAGATACGGGCCGAAGCGCGGAAGATGGAGGAGCTGAGCACGGAGGTGCCAGAGACGATCCCGCCGTTTATCATGCCACCATGGCAGGCGGGACCAACTACATACATAGACAACAGCGACGAAGTAGCACGCGTCAGGCATGACGAGATACTTGGAAAGGGGG